AGGAAAAATACGCACTTAAATAATCTCAGATACAATTCAATCAAAAATATCGAAGATACGAAAATCAAGAAAATCATCAACCTTTCAGAATTAAAGTGCAAAAAGACATTAGGCATGCAGAGCCGAAAAGAGATTTGCAATGATAAATAACAACTGACGCATACCCAGGAGACATGTAAGCTTCACAAACATACCAGTCCAACCAAGGGACCTCGTTGGCTGTATACAATCTGCCTTGTTCGGCCAGTGAAACGGAGGTCCAATCGGTATTTCCTTCAGCTAAGTCGGTCAACATTGTACGAAGTCATTCTGTGCCTCCACAATCCAAAGGGTGAGTGGATTTCGCTCTTCGCTTTGATCTGTCTCCTCATGTCTTGTGCGGTAATTGTGAGCCACTTGAGAGCAACTTCTGACCATTTCACTCCGTTTTGTGAGCAGTAGGTTCGGCGGGCTTCATATGCAGCATTTCTGTTTAGCAGATTAACTGTTCGAATGGTGAGCCTAGATATTTTAATGATGTTCAGTTAGTACGTTTTTAAGAACTGACTTCGATCTTTTACCTTTCTACCTTTTGTTACTGGCGACGCAGGTGTGCCACATTGACCCATTCGTGTAATGTGAGCAGGTGGTACCATTTGCAGGGGAGTGAAATGCAGAAGGGGGCGACCCGAACTCTTCCGATGGGAATAAACTGAGTCATTCAGAACATCTGCCTACGGGGTCTTATTGTAAAGCTTATTCGCTTCCCATACATCGACATACATTTATTACTTACGATCCAATCCGATCCATATTTGCTCTCTTTTTCTGTTTCATATATGAAACAGCATGTGCATCTTGCAATTCCACAATGCTCGTGACTGTCAGCAGGCCTACAACGAATGTCTTCAAGGCAAAGAAATTGGTGGACAGTTGTTGCATGCAGAATTTAATGGAGGTGAGTTGATCATTCTAATGTACATTGTCGTCGGGTCAAATTGTGAATAGCTCTTTCATCATTTGTCGCACCTTACACGTTTTCAGATCGGCGCTCCAGTTCGTCAGAAAACCTTTACACTAGTCAACAGTATGGAGGCAACTCTAGAGATTTCAGACGACCATATGCAGAAAATGATTACGGCCGTCAAACACTTGATGACAATAATGGATCTGAGGGTGATGGTCCTTCTAACACTTCCTGTACACTGACCGTATCAAACCTTCCGTACTCAGCATCTGAAAGAGACATTGTGCGCGAGTTCCCAGAAGCTCTGCGAGTGGCACTGTCGTTAGACGAACAAGGCCGTTCAAGAGGGTAATTTTAATTTCAGTCTTAAATTACTTGTAGTGTTGCGCATGTGACATTCTCAAACTCGGACCAGTGCAGTGCCGCTCTTACCTCTTGTGGCAACAAGATGATGGGTGGAAGACCCATGCGCGGACGCATCCAGAGAGGTAAAGGCCTGCTCAGGCGTATTATATTTGATGTTGATTGCAGATCAGGAACACAGTCAACAAGCGGGTTATAACAATCAACGTCCTTACCACCGTGACCAAAGAGACTATGGTCAACGTGGCCAACGGGACTATAATCAGCGCAATTTCAATAACCGGGACCACAGCAACCAGCGTGAGAATGGTAACCAGAGGGACAACAGTCAACGCGAATACAATCAACGTGATTATAGTGGTCAACGAGACTATGCTAACAGGCAAGGTAAGTTCCTTCTGTCATGCAGTTGACCACATTTTGTTGTGCTAGCATGGTTAGATTGTACATCCGATTTGCCTTCATGCTTTTAGGAAGGCAGTTTGACTACAACTCCGGGAGGGGAGAAAGAGATGTAAACCGTTTTCAAAGCGGTTCGGCAAATAGAGGTGGATCACGTGACTTTGGACGGAACGACCGGTTCGACTGGTCAGATCAAAGACGAGATCGCAGCCCAGCTAGAGGTGAGCCCGTCCGTGGGTATGGCAGCTCCAAAGGACCGCGGATAACATCAGCTGTTATTCACCGCCCGGGAAATGCTAGTCCTTCGGAATCCTCTTCTTCCGACGAAGACTAAGTTTTCAGCTTATCGTTTACAAGGATTCCCCGAACGATGCGTCACATGTGAATGCTTGCATGAATCTACGTATTTAACACCTATATGCTCACAACCCATCTATGTTTTAGCTCAATACACACTTTCACTTCAGCCTATTGTTCTGATGTAATGTCACTCGGGTGATTCGTCGGAACCCCAGTGGGAAAGCTTTTGGTTGCAGGACGCGCGGATGCCTCATGGTAGTATCTTCGGCCGTTGTATGCAGTGACTCATTCGAAGCCTACAATGTTGTTGTATGAATATTGCCGGGTTTTCCTACCAGCGTGTACTGTGAAGTGTTCACAGTTCGAGCCGAAACAATCGAGCGCCACCTGTCGGCTAATGCACTGAAGCCCGACTCAACCTGGTTAGCCCTGGAAAATGCAATCGTATACTTATCCTTACTACAAATAGTGTGTCATTCCCAGTCCGGCACTCGAACTTTAGGTGGCATTCGTCCAGTGAGAACTTGGGAAATAATCTATCACGGAATTACTAGGACTATGTCGGTCCCAAGCGTGAGGCAGCCCCCACCAGTTGACCTGAGTTTGAGTCTAGGAGTACGGACCTGCTAGATGAGTCATTATGTACAGGTGGGAGCGAGAGGAACTGCTTCGATTTCGCTCACGAGAGGAATGCATTGATCAACTGCGCAAGTATCCTTACAAATTCCGGGATAAATATGCGTATTCAAGGCCGAAACTCGTGCACTCCGACGTCGAGGTTGCTACCGACCCACTGAATGGGACCGTGCTCTGGAAGATATTGTAAGCGAAATGCTCATTGGTATTTCGAGGTCATGTTACTTGGGACAATAGCGAAGAATGCAGCTGTTCCCATTGTGCCATCCCAGTTTGGCGCCACTCGGATGAGGGGTCTCGGTAATTTCGAAGTTTCCATGAGTGAGTCCCTAGAGTGGCCACCTCAGAGCACATTGCGTTCCAGTGCATCGAAAATGGTTCTCGAGAATCATCAGGAACGAGCCGTAGATATAGGTGGCCGTTTACGTCTTGGTACCCCAAGCATACAGGGGTATGAGCACGGGGGCAAGACAGGTATCAGGACAAGACGGCGATCAGAAACCCGACTAATCATCATCATCCCCACATCCTCAGGCGGAAGCAGTCTTACAGCCACCAGACCCCAGCATGTTTCTCAGGCGGGACGGTCGGCCAGTAGCACTGGAGCTCCACCACTCACTACTCTCACAAAATTTCCCAACGAGTGTCTTGAGACGCTTGGCTGGTTCCAGAAAATGTCTGGACATTCGACGATTCGTTTCTTTCGCTCTCGACCCCAAAGTCTTGATGGCAAGCCGAGGAAATTTGAGACCGTAAGATCGAGTTACATGCGCTGTGAAAGGCCAACAAGTAATCCACATGAGGGGGGTATATTTGCTTGAGGCATTCTGAGGTAAGGTTTGACCATGGAGCGTTCGATCGTAACGAGGTCACCGTACTTCACGGTGTTGAGATCCCGTCAATCACGCGGCTGCATTCGTGTGTCATTAGCATGAACTCCCTTTATTTTCCACTGTCATCTGCTGCCTTTGACACCTGGCGCTCTGTCCCGTTTGTACTCCGTCGGCCATTTACGGCTGAGGCTAAGAGTTAGCTTCCGAGTCAATATCTCCTCGTCTGCATAGTCTCCACCTCCAGCGTCATGCTACATTGACGAGTGCCTATGTCTAGTGACAGATACCTGGATAAAGTAGGCTGGTACTCCAAGTAGGGCATGTATACTTTGTTTCCGAGTTTGCTTCACTTAATCTAATCCCAGGCGGCAGGAGTTGAAGATGACCACCACATCCAGTCATCGCTGACACCTGTCGGCGTGTATAATTGTCCAACTGGTGCAGTGGGGTCGTTGGTCGCGATGCGGGGCTGGCAAACTAGGTTGTCACTGCTACAAGCGGGTCACGAAAACCATGTCCAGGATCTCTGGGAGAGAGTATCACCCTCTCCATGGTCCCGACAGAGGTTAGCCTTGCCATGTCTGTCACCAAAGTCATTTGAGGCAACTGTTACAAGCCAGCATGCGTGCTGCCTACGCCCACCAGGGCTATGTATCGGAGTGTACAGCGTCCCGCGGGGCAACATGTCAGTCGACTCCTCTATGCTGCACCGACACAGTCTTGAGGGTGGCTACGCAAATGCTCAAAACCTGCTTGCAGTCGATTTTCAGTTAAAGGTAAAAAAAGTGAGGCTTGCATGTGTCGCGACCTCATCCAGTCGTTTCTATGGCGTTGGGCACTCCTCAATAATAGGTGGGGTCTGAAGGATGATATTTTATATCAGGTAGGCTAGATTAAGCCGTGTTAGCATGGCCATCCACCCAAGGTCTGGATCAAAAACGCTTTTCCTGAGAACAGTCCTACAGTTTTAAGGGTTGTGATGCCTTCTATCCTTCGTTCGCGGTGACATTGGGAGGTACGACATTGAAAAAGGCCTTTCCCCACCATTTAATTGGGCAACTGCCGAATTTCCGTCCCAGCATCAACTTCCTACGAGCAATCAAGTCCCCAAAATCGAGGTGAGCCAGGCTTTCAATATCAACCAAGTTCCTGCCTATAGCTCTTGTAACAACTCATCGACAAAACTTCGGATTTAGTGCGATTAGCTCCTCACCGTGATGACGGTGATAACTTTCACATGGACAGGAGCAGGCTAGCGCATGTCTCCTGCTCCATTCACAACCATCTGAAGCCCTCATACTCTATAGACACTGGTATATACCTTGATAACTTTCACTCGAACTACCTATTTTTCGGTGGTTATTGGTTTTGAACAAACTAAGGAATAGACTATGCAATCACGAACCTTTCAAACCACCATTGAACTCTTTCCATTGAACACTTGATGTCCAACAGGTTGTCTTACTATCTTGTGTGTTTAAGCGTGTGATTCACACTAGACGTCCGGTAGCCAGTGGAACATGGTGAGTGGTTCGTGAACTGTGTATTTTATGACTTTCAATTGTGTTAGTTTCATCTTGACTTACACTCGTTTTGTTCATCTTTCAGGGTCGTTCAAAGCAATCGCGTGAGTAAATTTTCTTGCTCTGAGTGTTATATGTTGTCTTGGAGGTTACTTAAGATATTACTTGAATTTTAGTTAACAATTCTGCAGCCAAATCCCCGCAACCTGGTGTCACACCGGAGCCAAAGAACAAACGTCTCACGAATGGCAAAACGACCCCATTGAAACCTGGATCTAAACGACCAGTTCCCGTTGGTAGTGATGACAGTGGGTCAGATATCGAGACAGGTCATGTCACTGATTTGAAAATGTCGCACAAAGTGAGTGTAGAGCATGTTCACAGCATGCACTTGCCTTCATATTTCTTTCGTTCATATTGTTCCCCAGTCACCGACGTCCCAAGTAGTCCATTAGATCGAAGGCACTCATAAGTGGTGTCCTCATTTTGTAGCAGATATTCTGAGAGCCTAGGTTGCAGGGTGTGATATGGGCACGTCACAACTGCCTGGACTTCAGCGGTCTTGATGGGAGGTAGTTGTAGTAGTAGTGGTGGTAGTAATAGTAGTAGTAGTAGTTCAGAGCTGTTACCAGCATTAGGATGATAGGAAAGACAGCATGGTCCAGGTGGTCACGGTTAACAGTTGAACTGCCTGTGACGAGTATGGGTGGAGATTAGATATCTTCGTTACCGGAAACCGGCATGCTTTTCACATGGTTCAACACATTCACAATCGAACATAAATTCCTGACCACACGCAAGTATTGGTACCAAGTTGTTACTCCACTATTGATATCACTGTCTGGCACCGTGACTTAAGCGTTGGTGCTGTGTCCATTGATAATATGATGCCATGAGATATCTTGTTACGTGGTGATTTCTAGGCACTGGGGTAGCTCATACTACCAACCACATATTCTGCCTCACTCAGTCCACCTGTACAAATTAGGGTCATGTCCTAACTCCATCCAGAGGAGTCATCTTAAGTTTCGACTTAGTGCAGTGTAAGCCGCATGTGTTCTCACTTTTCTAAAGCCCACAAATCAGCGTAGGCTTGACCGAACCCTGATGTCTGGTACCCATTTGTGCCAAGTGCAGAGATGAGCTCGATAAAATGTCCAGTAACCTAACTCTTGCCCTTTGTATAACTTCAGAAGCTGAAACTCGGTGACACAAAACTTGAGCCAGAAAAACATGAGATTGAAAGTGAGGAGGACGAAGACGATGAAGTGGAAGATGATGATGAGGATGACGACGATGAAGATGATGACGATGAAGATGACGAAGATGATACTGGGGACGATGATGATGAAGAGGATGAAGATGATGATGAAAGCGAGGAAGGCAAGACACCTAAAAATCTTCAGGCAGGTAAAGTTTTCAACGCAGTTGGGTTGAAGAACACTAACAAGCCAGAGTCCCAATCAAAAGGTGATAAAATGTGTGTCGCAAACATGCCATCCAGTTCCCCAAACAAGGTGGTTGCAGAGTCGAAGACACGAGTTGATGCGCACAATAATTCTATGGCGGGGTCTGTGTTGATAATGAATGGGCCTGATGACTTGGATAGTCTCAAGGAGTTCATCTCCAAGATAAGCCCCGTCACCAACATCCAAAGGGTAGAGCCCGCCCCCATACTGGTCACTGTGGCAAACTTGAACAGCGTAAAAAACCGAATCAAGTCGGGAAAGGTGATACTCCAAGGAAAACAGTTAGAAGTCATACTTATGGATAGGCCCGAAACCGCCAAAGAGTCAATGGAAAAAAAGAAAAGTGCATGTTTGTTCGTTGGTGGGATCCCTAAGTCAACAACAGTCGTGAGTTTTCACTTTTTCTTAGTTTCTTGCTCTACTATAGGAACAACTGGTAAGTAACCTCCCTAACGACTGTAAACCCGTTTCCGTCAAACTGCTTGACAGAAACCCCAATATCAACAACGCCATCGTCTCCTTCTCTTCCCTGATGTCGCCGAGAAGGCCTTTCAAGTCCTCAGTTCCTTAACATTGGAAGGTCACACGCTCCGAGTTTCCTTCACCACAGACCAGCAGACTCGTAAGTGCAGTAAAACTTGCCCACCGTATAACTAACGTGTTCTTCTAGGGTTCAGTCCCGGTCCGAAGGTCATGGTACTAGGCTTCCAGGGGAATCCCGGTCATTTGCGCAAAGAATTCCCGACATGCATTGATGTTCAGTACGATAAAAATAAAAAGTAAGTAACCACCCTGTCTAGACGTTTGCCCATCTTTCAGCAGGCTTCGTAACGCACGAGTTCCTATTATCCTCAAGCCTGTCTTTAGATGAATAACCATCTTTAAACTGTTAACCGATAGACTTTTATGTTCTTGTGTCCAATATAGAAAGGCGATTCTTAAATTCCCTTCTTTGGAAGTCCGACAAGCTGCCGTCTCAGAGCCGAAATTCATAAACGGTAGGAAACTGAAATTGTCACTGCTGGGTGGTCCAGAACTTAAAACCGCTATGATTTTGGGTGTTTCAACTGATGTGAAGGAGTCTGAAATCAAAGGGTTGTTCGATGGCGTGGTTTCAGTAACACGCGATTCAACTTCCTCTGGGAACCACCAGCAACCGTAAGTAACACGTTTCCAGTGTGCTCATGTACGTAAATACTTCAGTTAAAACCAGTTTACTTCCATGCCTATTCCGTTCGGATGGGACTGATACCTCGACTGTCCACCAGCCTCATACATTTGACGCTTCATTTTGTTTCAGGTCAATTACTGTTGAGTTCAAGACAGCGACGGACTGTGAAAAGGCAATTTCCTCCAATGCTACGTTAAACGGCAAACGCATAACAATCTTCCTGAAAGGTACGTTTATTGGCGCGATAATTTGCGTATATCCGTGTCTGATTCAGTTATTTCTGGCTCAAACGTAAAATTTCGGGCTGTTTGAGGACGGAATGCATGATTTTTCGTGGATATGCTCTTATATTTCATTTCCCGTTTCAGGGATATTCGTTGATGAGGTCTCCGGTAAGAAGCCTGAAACCATCGCTGGCTTGAAACAAGATGAACCCCCTGCCAAAAGGGCGAAAGGTAATTTTCTCTCCAATTGTCTTGCTACATTTCAAATTTTCTCGTGAATGACGTAACATTTGTGTTGTCTATTACAGCTGCTGCAGTTGTCCCCGGTAGTGGCAAGTTGAAGGTCGAAGTGTTGGGCGAAGTCCCAAAGGTAGAAGAAATTAGCAGTGTTGAAGATGATGACGAAGAAGAGGATGATGACGAGGATGAAAGCGAGGAGAGTGATGACAGCGATGATGATGATGTGAGTGAAAGTGATAGTGAGGAAGAAAATGAAGAGGAGGACGATGTAGATGAGGAGGGGAGTGAAGATGTCCCCATGGCATCGCCCAAAGCCCGTCAGAGTAAACAGCTGCATAATACACAAGGCAAGAAGCCGTTTGAGGAAAACCAGAAAATGAATAACCGTCCTGGAGGCCGAGGCAACTTCAGAGGTCAACAAAAGTTCGGTGGTGACTTTAAGCACAATTCACAACGAGGTCATGGTGGTCAGCCTTTCCGTGGACGTGGCGGGCAATCTCCTCGTGGCCGCGGTGGCCAGTCCTTCCGTGGTCGTGGTGGCAACAGGGGGGGCTGGTTCAAACGTGGTGATCATAACAAAAGCAGATAGATGACTTTCTTTGTAAATCTGAATTGCAAATAAAATTTTCCAGATGAGTTTGGTTCTTCTTATATTCTGTTTCCCGATGCTAAGTGTACTTTCCATTTCAGACAGACGATATGTCCGCTTCACAAACATACCAGTCCAACCAAGGGACCTCGTTGGCTGTATACAATCTGCCTTGTTCGGCCAGTGAAACGGAGGTCCAATCGGTATTTCCTTCAGCTAAGTCGGTCAACATTGTACGAAGTCATTCTGTGCCTCCACAATCCAAAGGGTGAGTGGATTTCGCTCTTCGCTTTGATCTGTCTCCTCATGTCTTGTGCGGTAATTGTGAGCCACTTGAGAGCAACTTCTGACCATTTCACTCCGTTTTGTGAGCAGTAGGTTCGGCGGGCTTCATATGCAGCATTTCTGTTTAGCAGATTAACTGTTCGAATGGTGAGCCTAGATATTTTAATGATGTTCAGTTAGTACGTTTTTAAGAACTGACTTCGATCTTTTACCTTTCTACCTTTTGTTACTGGCGACGCAGGTGTGCCACATTGACCCATTCGTGTAATGTGAGCAGGTGGTACCATTTGCAGGGGAGTGAAATGCAGAAGGGGGCGACCCGAACTCTTCCGATGGGAATAAACTGAGTCATTCAGAACATCTGCCTACGGGGTCTTATTGTAAAGCTTATTCGCTTCCCATACATCGACATACATTTATTACTTACGATCCAATCCGATCCATATTTGCTCTCTTTTTCTGTTTCATATATGAAACAGCATGTGCATCTTGCAATTCCACAATGCTCGTGACTGTCAGCAGGCCTACAACGAATGTCTTCAAGGCAAAGAAATTGGTGGACAGTTGTTGCATGCAGAATTTAATGGAGGTGAGTTGATCATTCTAATGTACATTGTCGTCGGGTCAAAATTGTGAATAGCTCTTTCATCATTTGTCGCACCTTACACGTTTTCAGATCGGCGCTCCAGTTCGTCAGAAAACCTTTACACTAGTCAACAGTATGGAGGCAACTCTAGAGATTTCAGACGACCATATGCAGAAAATGATTACGGCCGTCAAACACTTGATGACAATAATGGATCTGAGGGTGATGGTCCTTCTAACACTTCCTGTACACTGACCGTATCAAACCTTCCGTACTCAGCATCTGAAAGAGACATTGTGCGCGAGTTCCCAGAAGCTCTGCGAGTGGCACTGTCGTTAGACGAACAAGGCCGTTCAAGAGGGTAATTTTAATTTCAGTCTTAAATTACTTGTAGTGTTGCGCATGTGACATTCTCAAACTCGGACCAGTGCAGTGCCGCTCTTACCTCTTGTGGCAACAAGATGATGGGTGGAAGACCCATGCGCGGACGCATCCAGAGAGGTAAAGGCCTGCTCAGGCGTATTATATTTGATGTTGATTGCAGATCAGGAACACAGTCAACAAGCGGGTTATAACAATCAACGTCCTTACCACCGTGACCAAAGAGACTATGGTCAACGTGGCCAACGGGACTATAATCAGCGCAATTTCAATAACCGGGACCACAGCAACCAGCGTGAGAATGGTAACCAGAGGGACAACAGTCAACGCGAATACAATCAACGTGATTATAGTGGTCAACGAGACTATGCTAACAGGCAAGGTAAGTTCCTTCTGTCATGCAGTTGACCACATTTTGTTGTGCTAGCATGGTTAGATTGTACATCCGATTTGCCTTCATGCTTTTAGGAAGGCAGTTTGACTACAACTCCGGGAGGGGAGAAAGAGATGTAAACCGTTTTCAAAGCGGTTCGGCAAATAGAGGTGGATCACGTGACTTTGGACGGAACGACCGGTTCGACTGGTCAGATCAAAGACGAGATCGCAGCCCAGCTAGAGGTGAGCCCGTCCGTGGGTATGGCAGCTCCAAAGGACCGCGGATAACATCAGCTGTTATTCACCGCCCGGGAAATGCTAGTCCTTCGGAATCCTCTTCTTCCGACGAAGACTAAGTTTTCAGCTTATCGTTTACAAGGATTCCCCGAACGATGCGTCACATGTGAATGCTTGCATGAATCTACGTATTTAACACCTATATGCTCACAACCCATCTATGTTTTAGCTCAATACACACTTTCACTTCAGCCTATTGTTCTGATGTAATGTCACTCGGGTGATTCGTCGGAACCCCAGTGGGAAAGCTTTTGGTTGCAGGACGCGCGGATGCCTCATGGTAGTATCTTCGGCCGTTGTATGCAGTGACTCATTCGAAGCCTACAATGTTGTTGTATGAATATTGCCGGGTTTTCCTACCAGCGTGTACTGTGAAGTGTTCACAGTTCGAGCCGAAACAATCGAGCGCCACCTGTCGGCTAATGCACTGAAGCCCGACTCAACCTGGTTAGCCCTGGAAAGTGCAATCGTATACTTATCCTTACTACAAATAGTGTGTCATTCCCAGTCCGGCACTCGAACTTTAGGTGGCATTCGTCCAGTGAGAACTTGGGAAATAATCTATCACGGAATTACTAGGACTATGTCGGTCCCAAGCGTGAGGCAGCCCCCACCAGTTGACCTGAGTTTGAGTCTAGGAGTACGGACCTGCTAGATGAGTCATTATGTACAGGTGGGAGCGAGAGGAACTGCTTCGATTTCGCTCACGAGAGGAATGCATTGATCAACTGCGCAAGTATCCTTACAAATTCCGGGATAAATATGCGTATTCAAGGCCGAAACTCGTGCACTCCGACGTCGAGGTTGCTACCGACCCACTGAATGGGACCGTGCTCTGGAAGATATTGTAAGCGAAATGCTCATTGGTATTTCGAGGTCATGTTACTTGGGACAATAGCGAAGAATGCAGCTGTTCCCATTGTGCCATCCCAGTTTGGCGCCACTCGGATGAGGGGTCTCGGTAATTTCGAAGTTTCCATGAGTGAGTCCCTAGAGTGGCCACCTCAGAGCACATTGCGTTCCAGTGCATCGAAAATGGTTCTCGAGAATCATCAGGAACGAGCCGTAGATATAGGTGGCCGTTTACGTCTTGGTACCCCAAGCATACAGGGGTATGAGCACGGGGGCAAGACAGGTATCAGGACAAGACGGCGATCAGAAACCCGACTAATCATCATCATCCCCACATCCTCAGGCGGAAGCAGTCTTACAGCCACCAGACCCCAGCATGTTTCTCAGGCGGGACGGTCGGCCAGTAGCACTGGAGCTCCACCACTCACTACTCTCACAAAATTTCCCAACGAGTGTCTTGAGACGCTTGGCTGGTTCCAGAAAATGTCTGGACATTCGACGATTCGTTTCTTTCGCTCTCGACCCCAAAGTCTTGATGGCAAGCCGAGGAAATTTGAGACCGTAAGATCGAGTTACATGCGCTGTGAAAGGCCAACAAGTAATCCACATGAGGGGGGTATATTTGCTTGAGGCATTCTGAGGTAAGGTTTGACCATGGAGCGTTCGATCGTAACGAGGTCACCGTACTTCACGGTGTTGAGATCCCGTCAATCACGCGGCTGCATTCGTGTGTCATTAGCATGAACTCCCTTTATTTTCCACTGTCATCTGCTGCCTTTGACACCTGGCGCTCTGTCCCGTTTGTACTCCGTCGGCCATTTACGGCTGAGGCTAAGAGTTAGCTTCCGAGTCAATATCTCCTCGTCTGCATAGTCTCCACCTTCAGCGTCATGCTACATTGACGAGTGCCTATGTCTAGTGACAGATACCTGGATAAAGTAGGCTGGTACTCCAAGTAGGGCATGTATACTTTGTTTCCGAGTTTGCTTCACTTAATCTAATCCCAGGCGGCAGGAGTTGAAGATGACCACCACATCCAGTCATCGCTGACACCTGTCGGCGTGTATAATTGTCCAACTGGTGCAGTGGGGTCGTTGGTCGCGATGCGGGGCTGGCAAACTAGGTTGTCACTGCTACAAGCGGGTCACGAAAACCATGTCCAGGATCTCTGGGAGAGAGTATCACCCTCTCCATGGTCCCGACAGAGGTTAGCCTTGCCATGTCTGTCACCAAAGTCATTTGAGGCAACTGTTACAAGCCAGCATGCGTGCTGCCTACGCCCACCAGGGCTATGTATCGGAGTGTACAGCGTCCCGCGGGGCAACATGTCAGTCGACTCCTCTATGCTGCACCGACACAGTCTTGAGGGTGGCTACGCAAATGCTCAAAACCTGCTTGCAGTCGATTTTCAGTTAAAGGTAAAAAAAGTGAGGCTTGCATGTGTCGCGACCTCATCCAGTCGTTTCTATGGCGTTGGGCACTCCTCAATAATAGGTGGGGTCTGAAGGATGATATTTTATATCAGGTAGGCTAGATTAAGCCGTGTTAGCATGGCCATCCACCCAAGGTCTGGATCAAAAACGCTTTTCCTGAGAACAGTCCTACAGTTTTAAGGGTTGTGATGCCTTCTATCCTTCATTCGCGGTGACATTGGGAGGTACGACATTGAAAAAGGCCTTTCCCCACCATTTAATTGGGCAACTGCCGAATTTCCGTCCCAGCATCAACTTCCTACGAGCAATCAAGTCCCCAAAATCGAGGTGAGCCAGGCTTTCAATATCAACCAAGTTCCTGCCTATAGCTCTTGTAACAACTCATCGACAAAACTTCGGATTTAGTGCGATTAGCTCCTCACCGTGATGACGGTGATAACTTTCACATGGACAGGAGCAGGCTAGCGCATGTCTTCTGCTCCATTCACAACCATCTGAAGCCCTCATACTCTATAGACACTGGTATATACCTTGATAACTTTCACTCGAACTACCTATTTTTCGGTGGTTATTGGTTTTGAACAAACTAAGGAATAGACTATGCAATCACGAACCTTTCAAACCACCATTGAACTCTTTCCATTGAACACTTGATGTCCAACAGGTTGTCTTACTATCTTGTGTGTTTAAGCGTGTGATTCACACTAGACGTCCGGTAGCCAGTGGAACATGGTGAGTGGTTCGTGAACTGTGTATTTTATGACTTTCAATTGTGTTAGTTTCATCTTGACTTACACTCGTTTTGTTCATCTTTCAGGGTCGTTCAAAGCAATCGCGTGAGTAAATTTTCTTGCTCTGAGTGTTATATGTTGTCTTGGAGGTTACTTAAGATATTACTTGAATTTTAGTTAACAATTCTGCAGCCAAATCCCCGCAACCTGGTGTCGCACCGGAGCCAAAGAACAAACGTCTCACGAATGGCAAAACGACCCCATTGAAACCTGGATCTAAACGACCAGTTCCCGTTGGTAGTGATGACAGTGGGTCAGATATCGAGACAGGTCATGTCACTGATTTGAAAATGTCGCACAAAGTGAGTGTAGAGCATGTTCACAGCATGCACTTGCCTTCATATTTCTTTCGTTCATATTGTTCCCCAGTCACCGACGTCCCAAGTAGTCCATTAGATCGAAGGCACTCATAAGTGGTGTCCTCATTTTGTAGCAGATATTCTGAGAGCCTAGGTTGCAGGGTGTGATATGGGCACGTCACAACTGCCTGGACTTCAGCGGTCTTGATGGGAGGTAGTTGTAGTAGTAGTGGTGGTAGTAATAGTAGTAGTAGTAGTTCAGAGCTGTTACCAGCATTAGGATGATAGGAAAGACAGCATGGTCCAGGTGGTCACGGTTAACAGTTGAACTGCCTGTGACGAGTATGGGTGGAGATTAGATATCTTCGTTACCGGAAACCGGCATGCTTTTCACATGGTTCAACACATTCACAATCGAACATAAATTCCTGACCACACGCAAGTATTGGTACCAAGTTGTTACTCCACTATTGATATCACTGTCTGGCACCGTGACTTAAGCGTTGGTGCTGTGTCCATTGATAATATGATGCCATGAGATATCTTGTTACGTGGTGATTTCTAGGCACTGGGGTAGCTCATACTACCAACCACATATTCTGCCTCACTCAGTCCACCTGTACAAATTAGGGTCATGTCCTAACTCCATCCAGAGGAGTCATCTTAAGTTTCGACTTAGTGCAGTGTAAGCCGCATGTGTTCTCACTTTTCTAAAGCCCACAAATCAGCGTAGGCTTGACCGAACCCTGATGTCTGGTACCCATTTGTGCCAAGTGCAGAGATGAGCTCGATAAAATGTCCAGTAACCTAACTCTTGCCCTTTGTATAACTTCAGAAGCTGAAACTCGGTGACACAAAACTTGAGCCAGAAAAACATGAGATTGAAAGTGAGGAGGACGAAGACGATGAAGTGGAAGATGATGATGAGGATGACGACGATGAAGATGATGACGATGAAGATGACGAAGATGATACTGGGGACGATGATGATGAAGAGGATGAAGATGATGATGAAAGCGAGGAAGGCAAGACACCTAAAAATCTTCAGGCAGGTAAAGTTTTCAACGCAGTTGGGTTGAAGAACACTAACAAGCCAGAGTCCCAATCAAAAGGTGATAAAATGTGTGTCGCAAACATGCCATCCAGTTCCCCAAACAAGGTGGTTGCAGAGTCGAAGACACGAGTTGATGCGCACAATAATTCTATGGCGGGGTCTGTGTTGATAATGAATGGGCCTGATGACTTGGATAGTCTCAAGGAGTTCATCTCCAAGATAAGCCCCGTCACCAACATCCAAAGGGTAGAGCCCGCCCCCATACTGGTCACTGTGGCAAACTTGAACAGCGTAAAAAACCGAATCAAGTCGGGAAAGGTGATACTCCAAGGAAAACAGTTAGAAGTCATACTTATGGATAGGCCCGAAACCGCCAAAGAGTCAATGGAAAAAAAGAAAAGTGCATGTTTGTTCGTTGGTGGGATCCCTAAGTCAACAACAGTCGTGAGTTTTCACTTTTTCTTAGTTTCTTGCTCTACTATAGGAACAACTGGTAAGTAACCTCCCTAACGACTGTAAACCCGTTTCCGTCAAACTGCTTGACAGAAACCCCAATATCAACAACGCCATCGTCTCCTTCTCTTCCCTGATGTCGCCGAGAAGGCCTTTCAAGTCCTCAGTTCCTTAACATTGGAAGGTCACACGCTCCGAGTTTCCTTCACCACAGACCAGCAGACTCGTAAGTGCAGTAAAACTTGCCCACCGTATAACTAACGTGTTCTTCTAGGGTTCAGTCCCGGTCCGAAGGTCATGGTACTAGGCTTCCAGGGGAATCCCGGTCATTTGCGCAAAGAATTCCCGACATGCATTGATGTTCAGTACGATAAAAATAAAAAGTAAGTAACCACCCTGTCTAGACGTTTGCCCATCTTTCAGCAGGCTTCGTAACGCACGAGTTCCTATTATCCTCAAGCCTGTCTTTAGATGAATAACCATCTTTAAACTGTTAACCGATAGACTTTTATGTTCTTGTGTCCAATATAGAAAGGCGATTCTTAAATTCCCTTCTTTGGAAGTCCGACAAGCTGCCGTCTCAGAGCCGAAATTCATAAACGGTAGGAAACTGAAATTGTCACTGCTGGGTGGTCCAGAACTTAAAACCGCTATGATTTTGGGTGTTTCAACTGATGTGAAGGAGTCTGAAATCAAAGGGTTGTTCGATGGCGTGGTTTCAGTAACACGCGATTCAACTTCCTCTGGGAACCACCAGCAACCGTAAGTAACACGTTTCCAGTGTGCTCATGTACGTAAATACTTCAGTTAAAACCAGTTTACTTCCATGCCTATTCCGTTCGGATGGGACTGATACCTCGACTGTCCACCAGCCTCATACATTTGACGCTTCATTTTGTTTCAGGTCAATTACTGTTGAGTTCAAGACAGCGACGGACTGTGAAAAGGCAATTTCCTCCAATGCTACGTTAAACGGCAAACGCATAACAATCTTCCTGAAAGGTACGTTTATTGGCGCGATAATTTGCGTATATCCGTGTCTGATTCAGTTATTTCTGGCTCAAACGTAAAATTTCGGGCTGTTTGAGGACGGAATGCATGATTTTTCGTGGATATGCTCTTATATTTCATTTCCCGTTTCAGGGATATTCGTTGATGAGGTCTCCGGTAAGAAGCCTGAAACCATCGCTGGCTTGAAACAAGATGAACCCCCTGCCAAAAGGGCGAAAGGTAATTTTCTCTCCAATTGTCTTGCTACATTTCAAATTTTCTCGTGAATGACGTAACATTTGTGTTGTCTATTACAGCTGCTGCAGTTGTCCCCGGTAGTGGCAAGTTGAAGGTCGAAGTGTTGGGCGAAGTCCCAAAGGTAGAAGAAATTAGCAGTGTTGAAGATGATGACGAAGAAGAGGATGATGACGAGGATGAAAGCGAGGAGAGTGATGACAGCGATGATGATGATGTGAGTGAAAGTGATAGTGAGGAAGAAAATGAAGAGGAGGACGATGTAGATGAGGAGGGGAGTGAAGATGTCCCCATGGCATCGCCCAAAGCCGTCAGAGTAAACAGCTGCATAATACACAAGGCAAGAAGCCGTTTGAGGAAAACCAGAAAATGAATAACCGTCCTGGAGGCCGAGGCAACTTCAGAGGTCAACAAAAGTTCGGTGGTGACTTTAAGCACAATTCACAACGAGGTCATGGTGGTCAGCCTTTCCGTGGACGTGGCGGGCAATCTCCTCGTGGCCGCGGTGGCCAGTCCTTCCGTGGTCGTGGTGGCAACAGGGGGGGCTGGTTCAAACGTGGTGATCATAACAAAAGCAGATAGATGACTTTCTTTGTAAATCTGAATTGCAAATAAAATTTTCCAGATGAGTTTGGTTCTTCTTATATTCTGTTTCCCGATGCTAAGTGTACTTTCCATTTCAGACAGACGATATGTCCGCTTCACAAACATACCAGTCCAACCAAGGGACCTCGTTGGCTGTATACAATCTGCCTTGTTCGGCCAGTGAAACGGAGGTCCAATCGGTATTTCCTTCAGCTAAGTCGGTCAACATTGTACGAAGTCATTCTGTGCCTCCACAATCCAAAGGGTGAGTGGATTTCGCTCTTCGCTTTGATCTGTCTCCTCATGTCTTGTGCGGTAATTGTGAGCCACTTGAGAGCAACTTCTGACCATTTCACTCCGTTTTGTGAGCAGTAGGTTCGGCGGGCTTCATATGCAGCATTTCTGTTTAGCAGATTAACTGTTCGAATGGTGAGCCTAGATATTTTAATGATGTTCAGTTAGTACGTTTTTAAGAACTGACTTCGATCTTTTACCTTTCTACCTTTTGTTACTGGCGACGCAGGTGTGCCACATTGACCCATTCGTGTAATGTGAGCAGGTGGTACCATTTGCAGGGGAGTGAAATGCAGAAGGGGGCGACCCGAACTCTTCCGATGGGAATAAACTGAGTCATTCAGAACATCTGCCTACGGGGTCTTATTGTAAAGCTTATTCGCTTCCCATACATCGACATACATTTATTACTTACGATCCAATCCGATCCATATTTGCTCTCTTTTTCTGTTTCATATATGAAACAGCATGTGCATCTTGCAATTCCACAATGCTCGTGACTGTCAGCAGGCCTACAACGAATGTCTTCAAGGCAAAGAAATTGGTGGACAGTTGTTGCATGCAGAATTTAATGGAGGTGAGTTGATCATTCTAATGTACATTGTCGTCGGGTCAAAATTGTGAATAGCTCTTTCATCATTTGTCGCACCTTACACGTTTTCAGATCGGCGCTCCAGTTCGTCAGAAAACCTTTACACTAGTCAACAGTATGGAGGCAACTCTAGAGATTTCAGACGACCATATGCAGAAAATGATTACGGCCGTCAAACACTTGATGACAATAATGGATCTGAGGGTGATGGTCCTTCTAACACTTCCTGTACACTGACCGTATCAAACCTTCCGTACTCAGCATCTGAAAGAGACATTGTGCGCGAGTTCCCAGAAGCTCTGCGAGTGGCACTGTCGTTAGACGAACAAGGCCGTTCAAGAGGGTAATTTTAATTTCAGTCTTAAATTACTTGTAGTGTTGCGCATGTGACATTCTCAAACTCGGACCAGTGCAGTGCCGCTCTTACCTCTTGTGGCAACAAGATGATGGGTGGAAGACCCATGCGCGGACGCATCCAGAGAGGTAAAGGCCTGCTCAGGCGTATTATATTTGATGTTGATTGCAGATCAGGAACACAGTCAACAAGCGGGTTATAACAATCAACGTCCTTACCACCGTGACCAAAGAGACTATGGTCAACGTGGCCAACGGGACTATAATCAGCGCAATTTCAATAACCGGGACCACAGCAACCAGCGTGAGAATGGTAACCAGAGGGACAACAGTCAACGCGAATACAATCAACGTGATTATAGTGGTCAACGAGACTATGCTAACAGGCAAGGTAAGTTCCTTCTGTCATGCAGTTGACCACATTTTGTTGTGCTAGCATGGTTAGATTGTACATCCGATTTGCCTTCATGCTTTTAGGAAGGCAGTTTGACTACAACTCCGGGAGGGGAGAAAGAGATGTAAACCGTTTTCAAAGCGGTTCGGCAAATAGAGGTGGATCACGTGACTTTGGACGGAACGACCGGTTCGACTGGTCAGATCAAAGACGAGATCGCAGCCCAGCTAGAGGTGAGCCCGTCCGTGGGTATGGCAGCTCCAAAGGACCGCGGATAACATCAGCTGTTATTCACCGCCCGGGAAATGCTAGTCCTTCGGAATCCTCTTCTTCCGACGAAGACTAAGTTTTCAGCTTATCGTTTACAAGGATTCCCCGAACGATGCGTCACATGTGAATGCTTGCATGAATCTACGTATTTAACACCTATATGCTCACAACCCATCTATGTTTTAGCTCAATACACACTTTCACTTCAGCCTATTGTTCTGATGTAATGTCACTCGGGTGATTCGTCGGAACCCCAGTGGGAAAGCTTTTGGTTGCAGGACGCGCGGATGCCTCATGGTAGTATCTTCGGCCGTTGTATGCAGTGACTCATTCGAAGCCTACAATGTTGTTGTATGAATATTGCCGGGTTTTCCTACCAGCGTGTACTGTGAAGTGTTCACAGTTCGAGCCGAAACAATCGAGCGCCACCTGTCGGCTAATGCACTGAAGCCCGACTCAACCTGGTTAGCCCTGGAAAGTGCAATCGTATACTTATCCTTACTACAAATAGTGTGTCATTCCCAGTCCGGCACTCGAACTTTAGGTGGCATTCGTCCAGTGAGAACTTGGGAAATAATCTATCACGGAATTACTAGGACTATGTCGGTCCCAAGCGTGAGGCAGCCCCCACCAGTTGACCTGAGTTTGAGTCTAGGAGTACGGACCTGCTAGATGAGTCATTATGTACAGGTGGGAGCGAGAGGAACTGCTTCGATTTCGCTCACGAGAGGAATGCATTGATCAACTGCGCAAGTATCCTTACAAATTCCGGGATAAATATGCGTATTCAAGGCCGAAACTCGTGCACTCCGACGTCGAGGTTGCTACCGACCCACTGAATGGGACCGTGCTCTGGAAGATATTGTAAGCGAAATGCTCATTGGTATTTCGAGGTCATGTTACTTGGGACAATAGCGAAGAATGCAGCTGTTCCCATTGTGCCATCCCAGTTTGGCGCCACTCGGATGAGGGGTCTCGGTAATTTCGAAGTTTCCATGAGTGAGTCCCTAGAGTGGCCACCTCAGAGCACATTGCGTTCCAGTGCATCGAAAATGGTTCTCGAGAATCATCAGGAACGAGCCGTAGATATAGGTGGCCGTTTACGTCTTGGTACCCCAAGCATACAGGGGTATGAGCACGGGGGCAAGACAGGTATCAGGACAAGACGGCGATCAGAAACCCGACTAATCATCACCATCCCCACATCCTCAGGCGGAAGCAGTCTTACAGCCACCAGACCCCAGCATGTTTCTCAGGCGGGACGGTCGGCCAGTAGCACTGGAGCTCCACTACTCTCACAAAATTTCCCAACGAGTGTCTTGAGACGCTTGGCTGGTTCCAGAAAATGTCTGGACATTCGACGATTCGTTTCTTTCGCTCTCGACCCCAAAGTCTTGATGGCAAGCCGAGGAAATTTGAGACCGTAAGATCGAGTTACATGCGCTGTGAAAGGCCAACAAGTAATCCACATGAGGGGGGTATATTTGCTTGAGGCATTCTGAGGTAAGGTTTGACCATGGAGCGTTCGATCGTAACGAGGTCACCGTACTTCACGGTGTTGAGATCCCGTCAATCACGCGGCTGCATTCGTGTGTCATTAGCATGAACTCCCTTTATTTTCCACTGTCATCTGCTGCCTTTGACACCTGGCGCTCTGTCCCGTTTGTACTCCGTCGGCCATTTACGGCTGAGGCTAAGAGTTAGCTTCCGAGTCAATATCTCCTCGTCTGCATAGTCTCCACCTTCAGCGTCATGCTACATTGACGAGTGCCTATGTCTAGTGACAGATACCTGGATAAAGTAGGCTGGTACTCCAAGTAGGGCATGTATACTTTGTTTCCGAGTTTGCTTCACTTAATCTAATCCCAGGCGGCAGGAGTTGAAGATGACCACCACATCCAGTCATCGCTGACACCTGTCGGCGTGTATAATTGTCCAACTGGTGCAGTGGGGTCGTTGGTCGCGATGCGGGGCTGGCAAACTAGGTTGTCACTGCTACAAGCGGGTCACGAAAACCATGTCCAGGATCTCTGGGAGAGAGTATCACCCTCTCCATGGTCCCGACAGAGGTTAGCCTTGCCATGTCTGTCACCAAAGTCATTTGAGGCAACTGTTACAAGCCAGCATGCGTGCTGCCTACGCCCACCAGGGCTATGTATCGGAGTGTACAGCGTCCCGCGGGGCAACATGTCAGTCGACTCCTCTATGCTGCACCGACACAGTCTTGAGGGTGGCTACGCAAATGCTCAAAACCTGCTTGCAGTCGATTTTCAGTTAAAGGTAAAAAAAGTGAGGCTTGCATGTGTCGCGACCTCATCCAGTCGTTTCTATGGCGTTGGGCACTCCTCAATAATAGGTGGGGTCTGAAGGATGATATTTTATATCAGGTATGGTGTGAGTTTCATGCGCTGCAGATAGATATGCTTTTGGCTTTATCTGAAACCGATATTGTTGGGGTTAGATCGTAATATGAAGTGTACGATTTAATTGGTGAAAAGTGGGAGGATTGGACATTCGGTTCCTGAATCGAAGTATTCAGGTTAAAATTATTTATAAAGAATTATTTAAGATGTAAAAGTTTTCAATGATGCTAAGGTAGTTCATCTACTTTTGTGACATGTTTGTAAACGTGGAGCAATAATCCACAAGGGTTTCATTAAGATTTTATTGCCTACCCTACAGCTATTCATCTAAGATATATTTCAAAAGTTATCGTGAGAGACCATCATATATCTAAGAACATGAATAAAAGAAGGCATTGGCTTAGCTTATAGAAGCGCAGTAAGATTGAATTGATAATGTGATGAGAAGACGTAGATTATCAGAAAAATGCTATATATTTGCAATATACATTTCGAACAATCTGAACACATTGACTTGTTAAGGCCTTTTACATCCAAATGCATAAGAGAGACTAATTGTATCAAATTGATAATGGTTGAAACTGAAAAACAGCACACAGGCTGAAAGTCAGCGAGAAATACTTCCCAATGTTTGAAGGTTACGTATCAGGACATGGCAGAAGTACTTCAGCGGAGAGACTTCTCAGCGATCAAATCCTAGAAGCTGTGCAGTTGCAAATCCATACAATAAAAATAAAATAGGATTTACTACTCGTAGAAAGGGTCAATATGTGCTCTGTATTCTTCAGACAGACACAATCAATGTACAACCTCACTCCCATGTGGTTAGATTTACCATACTTTACAGAAGTATGTCAAGAACAAGTGTGTAGAAATGTTACCAAAGTAGAATAGAGTTTATAAGGGAAAGAAGAATCTGAAGAAAGGTTACTGAAAATGTTTTAAGGCGTCGAAGAGTGAATATATCTTCTCACCGGTCCTTCATCACCTTACATCCCACGTCGATGTAGTCGCTAGCTCAACATGCGCAACTGATGTATAAGCCGCCTCAGCCAGCCAAGGTTCACAACCTCACCGACTGACTTGCCTAGTATCTATTTCCTGACCTCAACATTACTCACGCGCTGATTCCACCATACATGAGCAATGCTGTGAAGATATCTATGGTGAGAAAGCCTTTGATCACTTCACATCTATTTCCGACAGCCATACCGTAGGACGGGGGAGATTGCAGCGCGGTATTCTCGTCCTTTAATTGGCATTCAGAAATCTCGTCGGCACCAGAAGTGGCATAAACTGTCAAATATCAAACGGGCCATTTGTACTTGAGTTGAGACGTCAGCCTCCAACCCATTTTGTCTACGGCGACCTTAGGTATGAGAAGTGGTCAACGCAATCAACCACTTCACTCTCTATCCCTAATCTGCGAGTAACTGCAGACTAGCCTTGAAATATCTTATACTTGAGAGATACGAGACGTTAACGAAGATACACACTCAGATTTTTGCTTAAGGGGTTTACGATACCTTCATTTCGTCAGACCCACCTAATAGGACAATGTAATCTGATTTCAGTGAGTAGATCAATTCCTGTGAATTCAAAGGTATTTGAGATTACATCCACTAATACATCTATAACGAAGTTAATCACTGACAGTGGCTATATACCTGACGGACGCCACTAGTCATCACTCCAGGTGACCATTGGCTCTTTCCACTCTGCTGCATGAGTCCCAATAGAGAGCTCTGATTATCCCAATATACTTGAACGGTACTGCATTCACAATCATGCACTGTCACAAAACGTTCCAGTCGACCGAGTCGAATGCCAATTTCACAGTTCGAAGAATATAGAAAGGCGTACTACTTTCTCCGAAAACCTGCACAAGGGTGAGTGTATGATCGGCACACACTTATCAAGACCTGAAACTTGGCTAGTTCTCCACAGTTCGCTGTTCTACAGCTCCAGTTAGGCGTCGGATAACTTTGTACCTTAGGATTCCAGACTTGGTATGGTTAGACTCTTCGTTTTGCGGTTGTCACAAAGAGACTTCTGTTCATTCCTATGAACTGGAGTGGTCAGTAATCTAGACCAGCCTGACGAGACTACCTTTGATTCCTATACACTGGCTGGTACCTCCATTACTATACTCAGCAATTTTCTGCCTTTATCGTTATAAGCTTCTGGTGTCCAAGCCGTCATATCCTGCTGCTTAGCATCGTTTAAGGTTGGAGACATTCTACTCAACCTCAGGGAGAGTTGGAGGACCAAAATATCATGTAAGATGCAAGTATTTCAATCCTCAAGAATATTGGTTTTACTGTTTTAAGATAGGTGGTCATATAACGGTGATGTCATTTGCGATTCAATCTTTAGGACTGCAGCTGTCGTTGGTATCTATCATAGATAGAAGTCACCACTGGCTAACTAAACAGTTTATTGCTCGTAATTATTGATAATCACTACGTCATCGTCCTGTTTTTATCTTGAGCATGAAAATGTATAGACAAGTATTCAGCAAGTAGTAAAAATAATTTTTAAATAAGCGTTGTATTTTTATCTGTAATACTGGTATAGTGGGAATAAACATCTGAAACAGTTTCATTGTTCTTCCGAATTGAATGAATGTTAACCTACGAAAGAATGTTGGTGGAAAAACCGTCATTATTTTATTAAATATCTATTGTTTAGTGCATTAGGTGCATGGATTTCATATTATTCAAGAAAGAAATATGAAGGATAAACATAAAATGCATATATTTTCCTATTCATACAACAATTCATTAGTTGTAACTGTGTATAATCCTGAAAACAACTTGATTATTTTCAACTATCCGGTGTTTCCTCCACCTAAACTAAGCAATTACATTGATCTTAACTCTCTGTGACTGAGTTTTCAGTCAACCTTTTTGTCATAACTCACTCGATGCCTTCGATAGTTATTGCACTACGAAAATTACTTGATATAATAAAAATACCAATCTAGTCTATACGAAGTGCCGTATGTTGACATGAAAATCTTACACTGTTCAGCATAAGTAACCTTTCATTACACCAATGAAGAGTTGGTGCATGTGTAGAATAAACACTTTTTTAAAATGAATGTGGGAATCATAATGACTTTAATAATTGAGGGTAAGAACATAACTGTGTGGTTGGTGAACGGAAGAATAACCAAACGCACTCAGGTCCCTGTGCATATTTGTGCAGTAGGGAATACATCATACCATTTGTGTGAGGGCTATTGATACTACCTGGCTGCCCAAACCTCTGTAGGTGACTCAGTGGTTTTTAGTCATCTTTAACCACTGGTGGGTTAGAAGTCAATATCTAGTTAGTGGATATTTCCCAAGAACATAAGTGACAGTTCCAAATAAGAATGGCCTCATTAATAATACTTCGTCTTTATGGATTCTTACCATAGGGATATGTGTTCGCTAAAATTGTTTACAGGGTAGGTCTATCTAAATGCGTTGTGCACTATGCACTGATTTTTGAAAATGACTTTGCTCAGTGTGTTGTACATGGAGATAGTCTGAAAAGGGGCAGAAATATGGGTGGTCAACTCCGAGGAACGATTCAAGTAGGTTGCCAACTAGTCCCTACTGTAGATGAGATATGAACTGAACTATGACGTATCAGCTCTTATTGAAATTCAGAAAGCATTTTAAAACTAGAAATGTTGCAGAGCTGTGGAATTAGTCAGTCTACCTTTGGTAGGGTTTGGAGAGGAGGTTAAAAATCACAGATAGTTTGCTCGGATAAATTTCAACGGTTGGTCATCTCAATATAAGAAAAAAATAGTGTGGTAATCATGAAGGAATATGTATAACCCAACTAGTTTTCCAGCTCTTTCTTTATTTCAGTCTTCAAACGCTAAAGTTAACTAGAGTTTAGAAACAACAACATTGGACTGGTTTGTCACCACTTACTATCCGAAGTAGTGATTTCCACAGTCAGGAATCAATTTTTCTGCACCATTTGGATCATATGAATATTTTTCATTTATAATCCATTCACCCAATGCTCAAGTTATTCAACTCTATCAGATCAAATTTTGATCCCTCCAAAGTCTATCAAAAAAGTAGATGCCTCTGTGTATCTTAAGTCATTTTAAGATGGAGCTGGGGTTCACTGTGCTAAGGTAGGTAGGTGTTCAACCTCCAACTAGTAAGTCACTGGATCCAAACCTGCCCCGCCTGCTAAGGTTCAGTCAATCAGTTAGAGATAAAGTGTATCGGTCATAGTCGAATACGTCAAACTGTACAATGAAGCTGGGTTGCACTCAAGGTTTTCTGTCATTGGTGCAGGCCATTTCAAAGAGTACGTGGATGAATAAAAAACCTTGCATACAAATGTGTTGTTGTAGGCTAATAATATTCCCTTATCGATAAGAGAAAATTTATATCATATAAAGGAAACTTACCTAACTGTCAATTTTATTTTTCCTACAGTCACCTGATTACTCATTCGATTGATAATTAGATTGCCTATCCTTACTGGTCGACTTGACAGTATGTCCACTTTGTTCATCAGATTTTGTCGACAACTGTTGTAGATTATCTTCGTATATTTTATCAGTACCACTATTACTATTGTCGAAACTGTTTGAAATAGCATGGAGATCAGTTATTGTTGATCGTTCTTCATGTGTTGTCAAAATATTACTACTGCAACAATGTTGGTTCGATGTAGGGGAATTTGTTGATTGCTTATTTCTTATAGAACCATTGACTGATATTGCTTTAGCAACAGCTTCAGCCTCTGTTTGTAAACGACTTATTCTATGGCATAGCATAGCTAAGCTTAAATCTGCTGGTTCTGATATATCATTTGTTTGAGTTACCACATAATCAGGTTCCATCATAAGATTTGATTCTTTATTGAGAATCATTGAATAAAAAAAACAACCTGGTCAGTAGTTAAAAAATGAAATTTTATATGAATATTATCTTGACTTGGTGATGAATACCTCTAAACGGAAACGTTTTATTTTGAGGTTAATTAGGATTTTAACTTTCAGGTAGTATTTTCCACGAACTGATAACGATTAGAGAACCACTGAAAACCTGGGGGCACTGGACAATTGTTTCGTCCTACTATGGGACTTCTCAACAGTACGTACCTGTTACCCAAACTCAGGACCTTCTCCGTGAAACATGAAGGTCCTGAGTTTGCATCGTGGGTATGTACTGCTGAGGAGTCCCATACTGGGACGAAACAGCTGTTCAGTGCCTCCAGGTTTTCAGTGGTTCTCCAATCGTTATCAGCGCGTGAAAAATACTTCAGAAAAGTTTTAGTCACAATTTCTTCAACTTGCCTGCCACAGTACTGTATAAAGATACTATAGAAGTTTTTAGATGATGCATCAGATCTGATTTGGTGTAGCTGTGATCCATTGACTTTGGTACTTTACTACGAAACGAGTACATCACAGATTCGAACATCGCAAGCGACCATTAGATTTCATGCAGTAGATGTTGCTTGAAACTTTTTTTGCATAAAAGTGTATTGGGTCCAGCTTTCCTTTCATATCTCGGTTTATCAGGTATATGTACTGCTACTTTATAAGACGACAAAAATATTCTAAACAAAGAAACTCTGAAAGTACGTCACACATATTGAACAACTGATGTACACGTCTAGAAGACGCGAGTGTTCTCCGTATATAAATAAGAAACACTATCTGAAGTAATTTACTTACGTTCAGTAAATGCATATTGTGTAGATAACTTTTGCGACTCAGCACTACCTGAAATACCAATTGAATGAGGAGAATTTAAGCCTGAATGGCTTGGTATAGCTTCACCGGTATTCACAGAATCAAGTCTGTCAAAAAAGTAAGACAAAGCAAATAAAGAAAATGAGTAGATGGTTGGCAGAGTATGCTTGAAAGTGAACTTCAGTTTGAGTAATGTTGTCACTCATTGCATAAGCAGGGTCAACATTTTTGCTGTTAGGTACTGAAAGTTGACTGTCAGAAAGAACTACAGCATCGAGAAATCGCATACTCCCAAAACGATTCAAATATGCATTACTCGGTTATATAGTTGTAGACTCCACCAGGAAGCATTTCGTTATGCATGTAAATCCCCGACAGAATATGAATCTTCTCAAGGTTGCAAACACTTTCCTGAAGAGTGATAGCTTGCACATAAACTAAATCGAGGGTCTCCTACTGTTTCCTTCGTATCAGCTAACAAACAACACCAATGGAGTTGAGGTTTCATATTATCTAGGTTACTGAGCACATTGTGCACTTTACCGACAAACTTTGATCAGCACTTAAGACTTGATAGTAGTAATCGTCAAAATCCACTGACCTTTGAGGTTGCTTGGGGAGGTGTTGTGTATGCCTAGCAACCATCTACCTCGAAGTGTCATGCTAACTGGTGTGCGATTGGGTTTGGAGGAATGTCCAAAGTGATCAGAACAATACTTTACACTAATCCTTGAAGTTCCTGTCTGTGTGAGCCGTGTAGGGAGGGGTTAAGGTCAAATGACTGGGGTCTTCGAGATGTAAGCAGTCGACGGTTCAGGTTTCTTTGTGATTTACTTCAAAATCTATAACAATGATCAGACGCATTCATTCTTTATCGTATTCATATTTTATTCATTCTCTCATCGTTTACTTTTTGTCTACTTATATATCATTCTTCTTTATCCACTTTCTTTTCATTTGGTGTTACGAAGTGTAGCAACTTGAACTTCTGTGAAAGGTCCCACATTGATTTATCCGCCTGTCTATATATCAATTAAAATCTATTTTTTGAACCAACTAACTAAATGGTACACATCCACCCACTGTTTCTCATGTCTACTTATATGATGTAGTTCCTATGTTTTTGGTTCCTTGTTGGTATCTCTTGTGTTATACTATCCCGTTAGTCAACTTTTTGACATTATGGTGTTCAAGATTGCAATATAAAAAAAAAATTGATTGAGCAAAGAAATATATTCCTTTTCAATTAGGTTTTCATCATGGGCTCTACACTAATATATACGTTTACAATTCAATCAAGTAGTGGGGGGTTGGTGAACAATAATAGTAAGTTTTAGGAATTAAGATGCAAATAATCAATGGAGTAATTAAAATTGGTAATATGATGCAGGTTATTCCTAGGTAAATGGAGTGATTTTTGACGAGTGTTCAATCACAAACAATAAATAACTACGTAATAATAAAATAATAAATGAATATTGATAGAAACAAGAGGGAGAGGGGATGTACAAAGTAATACGAGAAGTTACATCATGTTGACGGCCACGGTAATGAAAGTGGTCGGACAAACTTCTTTTGAATACAAAGGTCAGGTTTGTAAAAAAGGGGGATTGCAATCGCCTCTGCTATATGTAGTAGGCGAGAGAGTAATCCATGTGGTAAAATAATTGGAATATGATGGATTCTGAAAGCTTTTTAAGTATCCATTTGATGTCCCGTGTCAACTAGATGGGGAAGCATGGGGCTCTTTATTATTCTAATCTATCCCTTGCTCAACCATGATGGGTATGGCTCAGAAATTCGACGATGGATCTGCCGCATTGTACGCAATAGATTGGACAGCTACACTTCTCTTGTCAGGCTGTTTCCATGAATGAGTCAGTTACCAAAGTAATTTGTTTGGTGAGACAGATCTGTTATACAAACACATTTCTCATTTCATATATACCTAATTTATCTTCACTTGGTGTCTGTCCGGTTGAGAGTATTTACATTTCGTAATAAATACAACTCTTACATGAGGGTAGAGAAAAACGCCTTTGAGATTGTTTAGTCACGATTCAAAAGCCTTTTTTTCTCAACTAACATTTTAGAGTATGCATCACTTATTTTTAGTCGAAAGCATACAAACAAGACTGGATCACTTGAAGAATATTTAAATCATTGCTTCAGGTAGCAACCAATGAGATACACAAGGGTAATTACTTTGCATCAGATCATGAGTTCTTATCTTATGAGAGATACGAGGACTACTTGTCAGCTTATTGGTGAAATATATTCATTGTCGTGATTCGACTATAGAGACTAGGTATCAATTGAAGAATATATATGAAAAACAAACTAAAAAGTACTGATCAAACAGCATCTGTGGAGGTAATAAAAATTATGATTAGGTTGACTGACTCACCTTAGGGGTGTATTTGACGTCTCATCTTGACGTTGAAATATATTACCTGAATTCGAATTGTGCATAACTGCTGATCCATGATTCGGTTTTCCAAATTTACCAGATTCTAAGGCATCATGAATACGTTTTGCTTGAAAACATAATCTATTGCACATTGTACGAGGATTGATCTCTTCTTGTAATTTGATATTTTTACGCGTTGCGGTATCACTGGTTGTCGATAGATTAGACTTTTTAGTATTATTAAAATCCAACTCATTTATGTTTATACCAAATGGTTTAGGTGTTGAACGTGGTGAATTAGGTGAAAGCTTAGATTGATCAAAGTTTCGATTCTCATGATTATTTAATAGCGAAGAACTAGACGGTTTACTATTGCTATCATTGATTGTTCCAGTGGTAAGATTTGTATCTTCCCATAAACGACGATTATTTAATATATGTTCACTTACATCACGATCTCCTACAGTAATTAATAGGAGACAAAAAAAAGCAGCTTTCAGATAACTGATAAACAAAAGTATAAACCGATATACATTACAAATTCACTCAGTAGCTGAAAAAAGACACTGGGTGATTGAAGCTGCTTCCAGATATGATATAAAGCTGGGTTTAAAAATTTACACGAACCGATAGACAAGATGAAGTTGGCTACCTTCCAGTGACCAATCAATGCGCCTAATCCTACAGATCAACTGTAGCCCGAATAGCTCAGTGGTAACTGCAGCATTGGGTTACCCGGATTCGAATATCAGATTGCTAATTGCCTCCATCCAACTAACGATAGTAATGTGAATTCCAATGATTTACAAATGCTTGCGATTCACTTTATCTTTCAACTTCAGTTAGCTTAACCTGCAAATTACAAGACTTTTTTAATCAATTAGAGCTGTGGGTCATTGGTTTAGACAGTTGACTTTCAATTATTGGATCATGTGTTGACCTTCGCTCTACTTACCAAGGTTAGGGCAGCTAGGTAGCCTTCATACAAGAGGTGCGACTACATGAATGTACACAAGGTTGTTGAGTGCATTTTGAATCAGATTTATTATGATCACCAGCGATGAAAATACCAACGTTACAATTATCATTTTCAGGGTAGAAATAAAATATCTTTTGAGAGTAACATCCATGCTGAAAAGATAACATTTATTAATTGGCCTAACAAACTACTTGATATGACTGAAAACTATCTGCAAAACATGATAAAGGTACTTCAATAAACAGTTTGCTTTTCTTTCCTAAAGTTCAGGAATTAACCGGAATATCACTGGTTATTCTAAATGCTGTTGGTCGTCAGAATGTAATGCTGATACAACAGTAAACTATTTCTCGGGTTCCAATGATTTTTTTAAACATTATTTATTATACTGCCAATTCATTCTTACTGATATTAGCTATACCATGGTTTTTGTGATTGAAACGTTTTGAGGTTTGATTTCCATCAAAAGTTTACGGGTATAGGTAATCAGGGAAGTGAATACTAAGCATAATTCATTCATACAAAAGGATTTCATCAGAACTCTGGTTCAAGAGAACTATAGCACTTGAATATGATGCAGTAATTAGAAGATTCCTAGGCAAAGCGGCTCTGAGAAGTCAAGGGAACAGATACTTTAAGGGAAACATCTGTAATCAAGTTACACTCAAGTCTGTTTGAACAGTTTAGATGAGAATTCTTAGTATGGTGTTAAATGACTAGTGGAAGTTATATTGGTTCAACACACCTGATCCTAAATACTTTTAGGGATTATCCCAACCAACAGAAGTCAACTTGAGGCTAAAGTGGTATTCACGTCCTGAAATACAGTTAAGAATCAGAAGGAAATAAAGTCTCATTAAGCTGACCAAAAACCTCTGAGTATGTGAACTGGATTATTGAGCTACAAGACAGTGAAAAGTAGCTTCATGAAAATCGGTTCATTTTTCTGGTGGTCGATGGTTCGAATCCAGTATAAATATTGTATAGTACATCATGATGTCTTTTAAAAGATAGACTGACAAAACCAACATAGAACCTCACACAAACATATAAAGTCGCTTCAAGCTACCTTACTTCACGGTAGCATACAAAGAACAAGTGCACAAAAAAAGACTGATAGACAAACTATGTTACAAGAATGAGTACATCTGCACCGATATGACAGGTTTTCAGCCATGTCACCAACAGTCCTCAATCACTGATTCCTATCGCCTCGGCGACAGTCCCACCTCCCTACACGGCACAGACCAACAGTCAGAGACTACATGGAGCTGGTGACACGTCTTGGAATGGTCACCCTCAGCTGCCTTACTATTTCTGCTAGCACCACGTCGAGGAAGGCGGTAGCTCAGTATGTACGACGTATATCCAAGCCACCTCAGTCGCTAAAAGTTCACAACCTCAACGAGCGACTTTCCTTTGCCTAGTACCTTTAGCCTGACCTCTACAATGTTCACAACGATTCCACTAAAATGTGAGCAATGCTACGAAGACAGCTATAACCTCTTCATATCTTCTATGTTTAATAGCAATGTCTCACAGCCATGTAACAGGAAAAAACAGACTACAGTGCAGTATACTCGTCCTTTGATAGACGGTCGAGTATCTCGCCAGTCGTCACCACATATGATGCAATTCGGCAAATCCAAACGGACCCTGTGTATCCAAGCTGAGATTACGTCAGAGACCAGCCCGTTCAGGTTGATGAAACTCCCCAAGTAAGTGAAGTGGTCGATGCATCCCACTACTTCACTTCCTATCATTAAACCGCGAGTACTTGCAGCATGCCAAACATATTCAGATTTCTGCTCCTCAACGTGTCTAGAAGACCCTGCATTTTTTCCAGCATCTTCATCCAGCAGAACAATGTGTTCATACTCCGTGAAGTCAGGCGTATCTATGGTTAAGTCCATTAGTACACCTTTAGCAAAATTAAACAGGATCAGTGACAGAAGGCATCCATGGCGGACACTGTTATTATTATTTGTCCCTTGGGTTCCTAGTGGAACATAGGGCTTCAGCAACAGACACCGTTAGCTATTGTCTATTTAGATGACAACTCTCCTTAAGCCGTTACACAACTGCGTGAGTTTGAATAAAAAGTTTCGATTAGTTGTTCTGGTTTAGTATGGGGCTCTTCAGAACGAAACAACTATCCAGTGCTCCCAGATTTCCAATGCTTCTCCAATTGATGTTAGTTCACAATGAATACAACCTTGGAATCAATTAGTCCTCACAAACCTTCACACTAAATGATTATTTTTAACTCCGTACGATTACTCTCTTGATTTTTTACCTTTCACATTATTATTTTCATGATTTACTAAAAATATAAGATTCTTGTTATTCAATCGTCTAAGTCTTGATTGGTCTTTTGATATTAATTCAGTCCTGAGGTTTATGGTGATTTATTATATGTAAACTTGTATATTAGAGTAGAGCCAGAGATGATGACATATTCGAAAAAGAATATATATTTCTTCGCTCAATCGGTTTTTTTCTAAATTTATGACAACTAGTCCTTTTGATGAGTTTGCATAACGTGATAAAAAGGAGGAGGTTATCTGAGAAATGTGATGCGTTCGCGCGATACATTACAAGCCATCTGATCAAATATTTACTTGTCAAGGTGTTTTTATAAGAAACGTGAAAATAGAGTGGGCAAGGCAAATAATTCAAGATTTGAAATATGAATGAAATACAATTAGCCACAACTATTGTGAGAGAGCTAATGATACTACCTGGCTACATGAACCTCTGTAGGTGGAACCGAGTTCAATCCATGATCCAAGGACTAAAAGTCATCTCCCTAAACCAATCTAGCCGTAGCTCATAAACGAGGAGTAACACGTTTTCACACCTCCCTTCGTAGAGAGAGGGGGGATTGTTTTCGAATACAAAGGGAAATTGAACTTTCGTATGGCTAAGGATTCGACAGGTCTAGGTCATAAGGACTCTTATGTAATGGTCTAATGGGTGTTTTGGAGTCTATTCTATGAACTGTTTCATTAATGTGTTGAACTGCAAACGAAGGCGTCTCTCTGCCCTCTATTTTTATCAACCTATCTGAATGTATGCGTCACCTCACATACACGTAAATTGGTATACATGACAGGCATGTGACACAATCGTCTATGTAGTGATATGGTTCATATTGGAGTATGAGTTTCGTTTTCTCTATAATAATGAGTTTGACTGCATAGTATATTTTTTTAGTAGCTGAATCACATCGTCTTCAAATCATAGTGTTTGATACCTACTGATACAATCGCTCCATGTACACGTGCTTTCTGAAAGGCAATTTTGAATGGATCGCAACACTGAATAGTTTGTGCACCAACTGATGAACTTCAGGGATTATGCGTTACTCAGCAGAGTCTCTGTTAAGAATTCGACTTATTGTATATATAAAGGGGGTTTAAATGTACGGATGGCAAGAGCTTCAATAAATTTAAGCACTCGGCTCTAGGACAAATTGGTCAGGGCCGAGTGCTTAAATTTATTGAAGCTCTTGCCATCCGTACATTTAAACCCCCTTTATGTATACAAAAACAATTCGTACTCACGTTGAACCTACCTTGGTAGTATTCATTTTAATTTTCATACCAAGAGTAAGGTTTTCCTTTTTTTTCTTTCTATCCCTTCCTATTCCTATGTTTCCTATTAACTTCATTGACCTTTTTCGTAAATTTTCACATAAATAGTTCGACAAGTCCATGTGTGATCAGATTGTTCGAAATGTATAGCGCTAATACATCATATGTTTCAGATAATCTTCGTCTTCTCATTACGCTGTTAAAATTTATCAAAGGGACCAGTTGCTTTAAATTCCTAATTTATTTGCCGTACCTTTCATCTGAAAATGTTTTGATAAGATTGTTCGAAATGTATTGCATGAATACATCGCATTTCTCAGATAAACTCCGTCTTCTTATCACATTTTTCGGAATATTTAAATGGGAGTTCTCAATGTAATATACAAGTGTTCTTTCAAGTCGGTTGATTCAATTGAAATTGTCTGACTAATTCATCCGCCTGAGTTGGACTTATTCAAACATATCAGTGGTGACTTTGCCTCCCCTAATGAGCGAAACAACTGATACATGTCCTAATAACTTTCATTTTGTCTCAACAACCAGGTGGATAGAACTGAAACGTGTATAACGAGTACATCCGCATTTTTTCCTTCCCGTTATCCCCTCATCAATTGTTAACAAACAATCAATTTAACCTAAGAAGAAAAAAGACGCTACAAGTGGAAATTGTCAGCACGCTTACCCGTCATTGTCTCTTCATCAATATCATTTTCTAAATTTTGAACTGTATTTTTTATGATATGTGCTGTTGTTATTGAGTCATTTGTTGATGAAAGACTGCATAGTTGATCTAAGAGTAGGAGATTAGGACATTTCAGTGATGTTGTTGTCGTCGATGTCGATGCAACACACTTGTTAGCTGAATCAACAAAAGATAAAGGACCAGAATTATTGTTTTGCGTTATTTTATTCCTAATTTCATCTTTATTACCAGCGATTGGAAGGGCTGAATTAATTAGCAACTCTTTTTCAAGATTATTTTTAGTTATCTGACTCGACTGCCTAGATGTCGATGAAGATAATAGTGACGATGAAGGACAAATAGCCGGAACATTTGCAGTGGATGATGCAATCGAACCAGCCAGCAGTGATAATGAATGACCACATTTATCAGTACCATCTTCTTTATGACAATAAGGCAGTTGTCTTGAACTGCTAAAATTCTGTTGTTGTTGGGACTGTTGTAGATGATGACAATGTTGCTGCTGTTGTTGTCGTTTATGATTTAGATCGGTAAGATGATGATTAGATAAAACTTTCAAATTCTTGTTCTTAGACAAACAACTTTCTGATATCGTCTTCCCATGTGATGACGAATGAGATGATAACGGGGAAGAGGATGAAGCACATAATTTAGGATGAAGCAAGGTATTATCACTGAAGAAGAAAAAGTAAAAAAGAAGGGGGTGAAGATTACTTGCTACGCCTTCTTTTTATTCCTAGCAGAAAAGATTATAACCTGGATTTCACTGAATATCTTAAAACACAGTCTGTATCCATAGTTAATCGTATCATTCAAAATTTTAATCGTGAAACTGTTATAAATAATAATAAACAGGTGCTCCAGTGAATAGGATGGCTTGAGTATCAATTCTCACTTGTATGCCGCTTAAGATTAGAATACTGCACTGATGGGCGCTCTTCAGGTAGCCAAAAGTAGAATGTAATTAAGTTGGTAGAATCAGCTAACTTGTACAGTCTTCTTACCTTTCTGACTCCACTTTTACTTTTACGAGACAGTTTATAACCTACTTGAACTGTAGTCAGAACAACATTTCCAGTTACGGGTAACGTATAATATATGTAATCACCTTATTAAATACCTAAATCAACTGACTCATCTTTGAAACTTAGTATAGTGTTGAGGTAATGCTTATCTAACGCTCTCACCGTACAAAGACAACAAAAAAGAGTAATTACGTACAAACACTACCACAGGCGACGCTTTCAATAAATCTTAGAGTGGTAAGGAAGTATGTCAGTTCACTTGAAACTTCGCAAATCAGCAAAGCTGACAAGTGGTGACTGTGATTGTTCATTTTTCTAATATGTATGCAGGCGTTTTTGGACCAGCTGGGTCATCGTTCACCCATGCTACAATATGCGATCTCAGTTGTATTGGGAGTAGTTAAGACGAATGTAAAGAGTCCTGAGATAAACATATTAGATCACTAATGTGTTTTTGAGGTGAATAGGGATTTTACTTTTCAGGTAGTATTCATCACAGACTAACGTCTTGAGTTCGATCCCTAGCCGGTTCGTGGCTGCGTACTGCTGAGGAGCCTCAAACTAGGACGAAGTAGCCGTCCAATGCTGCTAGGTTTTCAATGGTTCCCCAACTGATGTCAGTCTGTGATAAATACTACCTCAATATTAGATCGACTTCAGAAATTCTTAGGTTGTGAGCATGTGCTGTCTATGAGGCTGTTCGTTTCTTAGTTCGAGTCCTTATGATATCATAAATTAGTGGTAAGAGACCATATCAGGTATGGCCTGCTAAAAAGACATGTACCATGTGGTTAATAAGTTACATTTCTTCTTGAGTAACTTCCTACGAAAACTACTAAGCTGTGATAACCATACACATCATGAACTTTGTATTGAATATGTAAGAGTTTGTTCAAGTCAGTTGACTCGATTTAAATGAGTTTGAATTTGTTCAAACATATCATTGGTGACGTTGCCTCTTAATGTGCGAAATGACTAACCAATATTCCAATAAGAATGATTTAGTGTAACAGTCAATGGATATGAGGTGATCGAACTATAAATATTAGATATCGAAATTTGCGATTACTTTGATGTTAGTATGAGCAATAATTTATGCTTGGAACGTCATCCAGTAAGTAGTACTGTGGGCTAGTTCAGACAAACATAATTAATAGGGAATTCCACTCTATCATGGTGCGCAAATCCTACACTTATATCCCTCAAGTAGGATTAGATGGTAGAAACGTTAGGAGCGGACGTACCAAGACGAGGAAATAATTAATTGATAACTGCTGGTCTGAGTTGTGACGTTTCAAATAAGGTCACTCTTTATCATTTTCAAAATTATAATCACTCCCTTATCACTCATTCATTTAATCAATATCCTCTAATTTTATCAATCTTCTTTGCTGGAGTTTCTTTTCTCTACCATTATGAAGTGTGGTGAACTAAATATCACCAAAATTGTGCTCAACTAAATCAGAGGTCCATACTTGTACAAAGTATAAAATATAACAATCCAGTACTGTTAAAAAAATGTTGACAGCTAACCTGCAAGCATTAGCATCTCTAGATATGCTTCTTCGCCAACGCGATTCAACATTTGACACAGATTGAAAATTAGGAGATTGTGGATCATGGGATTCCGAAAACGCCTTTAACAATCTATTATTCAACTGTTCACTAACAACTGATCTAGGTGAACATTCTTGATCAGAGGTACACGTATTCTGTATGATATCATCTACATGTGGTAGCACAGTTGATGATAACTTTTGGTGTTCAGCAGAATTACACTTCAATTGTTTCAGTCTTTCTTCAATCAGACAAGAATTTTGATTGGATCGACTTGTTGACGCTTGATTCAATGGTAATCGAGGCCTACTATTACTACTGGCAGAAGAAGAGAATTTAAACCACAATGGATGATGTGACAGCTGGTTTATCTTACGCTTACCATTATTATTACTATTACTGTTGTTGGCAGAGGTATTACTTGTCATCAGTTCACTTGGACGACTGGTTAATGAACTAGGCCGTGGATCAGGTAGTTTTAAGAGTTCTTCAAGAGTATTCCTAGTAGAAAGGTATTCATAATCATAGCTTAGTTCACCGCCACCTGGACCATGCATATTATCGCCATCATTAAAATTATTTTCATAATCTACCAGTGGTATAGACGAGATAGTTAGTTTTCTTTTATGAATATGATTATTATTAGAGTTGTTACTATTTTTACAGTCTCCGACATAACCTAAAATATTTAATGAATTGGTAGCTTTGTTAGAGAATTTAGTCTGTCGTGGTTGTTGTTGTCGTAATGATAATAAATTAGAATCAATACTTGAACGAAAACTTTCATGATCAGAAAGAATCTCTGACGTCGTCTGTGATATCATATCATATTCATTGATTTCATCTCGTTGTCTAATATGTTCCTCGTCACTGAACTCTTCAACTAAACTATTTTCTGCATCGCTTGATTCTGTGAATAGACGAAATTTTGGAATCGAATTTTGTTGTATTCCGTTATTGACTTCATCATTGCCTACTACAGCTTCTGCCTCTTCTTCATCCCCATTAACATCAACATCCTCGTCATCTTCCTCGATGTCTTCCTCTTCCTCCTCCTCTTCTTCATCGCCATAAGATACTGGCTCACTGAAATGTACTGACTCCATATCAACATCCACTTGACGTTGATTATGTTGATTAAACCTATGCAATGATTGTTGGGGTTAATATTTAAATATCTTGGTGAATTAGTTGATAATGCATCTTCACTATTATATGAAGCAGTTAATTGACTCATATCTAAACTTGATAGAATTGAAGAATTCATTGGTTGGTTTGTTGTGAGAATAAAGTTTAATATTGGTTCGGATACACCAACGGAAAATTGTGTACTTCGATTAGGCTGTAAAGTTGTCGGCTAAATGTATAAAATAAAAATAAATGTTCTATGTAAAGAAAAAAGCTGTTGATGCGGTAACCTTAATTTTGACAGAATTAGTCTTAAAACAATAAGGTGGTGATTGAATAAGAAGGAAAGCAGAAGCTACGGCAGGGATCAGACCTGTGACCTGCGGAGCTGTTGATCCAGGTGCTCTACCGGCTAAGCTGCGATTTGCATCTATTCACCAGGATGCGTTTCAGCTTCAGTTACTAACGTTTTTGTCAATCTGTAATGTCAATGAGTAGTATGTAACTATTCCTGCGTCATCATCAAAAAATCTGCCCACCGAAATCTTCAAACATCTTAATTCCAATCTAGTTGGATGAATTCTCAACATACGACTGAGTTAATTATCATCCAAATCAGGTTAGTAGTCTTTTGAGGACACCTGAACCATTCGCTTCCTAGTGCTATAGACGTGGTGCGTGATAGAATCAGTACAATATGAGCACCACATTTCCTTGGGCATCCCATTTGATTTGCTCAGCTGAAATCTCATATGTGATCCTAAAACTATACTAAATCAATGTATACCCGAAACACAAATAGTGTATCGACGATAGTGACTATCAAATACAATTTGAAAAAATTCATACCATCCATTTTCAGTGTTTATTCCTTGAAATAAGGTCACATTAAAACCTAGACGTGAATCAATTGTACAAATCATCTACTTCATAGACATACAAGATTACAATTTTCAAAACATTGAATTTCCAAAAGGATCCAGAGACCGACATCTTCCCTTTAAAAAAAAGGTGACTACATAAAATACTACTTCGACCCTAAAGTTTTTTGTTTTATGCTCAGTTAATTCCGGTCAAGCTATTGGAGCGGAGGTCCACAAGGAAGTTCAGTTTCTGAAGCACCGTAATGTGATCGAACTTGAAGTCAGGACACTCGCTACATTGTTTGGTAGGATATGGCAGTCTGAGAGTGCTGTATTTCACTTGAATAAAATCATGTCCCTATCCATCTCTAGAAAGACTGTGCAGTGTGTGATATGATCACCGATGTGTCAGTCTGCTGCCAGTAGCGTCTAACTTCATACTGAATTTAGTGCTGATAATGCCGTCCAGAAAGACGATGAAAGCTTCACGATTAAACAACCCAACTCAGAGAACGCAATACAACCAAAAGTGTTAGCTGCAATCATACTTCGTAGGCCATAAAAGCGAATGATAAAATGATCCACAGGAAGGTACCGCTCATGTGTTCACCCTCCACTACATGCCTAAGCACCATCACATGTATTGTAGGCTCACAACAGTTGTATCCATCAGTATTATGTTGGGCTACGATTCATTGCACAGGCATGCACTCTACAATAATCTGTAAGAAAGAGGTGTCCTTGAGAAGTTTAATGACATATTGAACCTTTAGCTTCACCCCAGGTGTGGTGAAAGTTTAAAGTGACGCACTTTCATTTTTCAGAACCAACAGTCAGGTTAGGCAGGGTTTTCCGATTTCGCCGCTACTCTTTAACTTTGATACCATTCTCCAGGCAACCATGAAGGAGGTTCGTAGCAGCGCTGTGGTTCTGTTCCTAGGTGAGAGACTCTGGAATCTCAAGTATGCGGACAATATCGTCTTACATTAGGACAATATACCAACTACTCAAATCGCACCCAATTAGCGATCAGAGTCCATGTTTATGATATATACTTGGAGCCGTTAAAGTGGAAATCACTTCATCAAGATTGCCAGAAGTTTGTACTCGTGAATCATTGCGACTTGCCAAAAGGCTTGTGCTCATAGCTAGCTATAGGAATCACTGGTTGAGGTGTGACTGATAAGATATTCAGACGTACGTCAACAGCCTGAGTTCCGCATACCAATCAAGGTCATCTTTAGCGTTATCGTGACAATAATCTTGGCCTTGCTTTAAAGTGTCGGGTGCACAAGGTACCGATTTAGGCAGCTCTGTTCCATACATGTTAATACCAACATCATACTGTATATTGCTACGGTAAGATGGCGGTCCGAGGGTGAAGCCATACTGCTGGCTGGATGAGAATGCAACAGCAGTAAGGTGTTTCCTTAGGATGACCAGTAGGAAAACGGTGATGCTTCCTACTGTATAGAAAGGGGAGGGGTCAGAAAAAGGGTTACCTAAAAATGGCACACTTCCAATACCGTGCGGCATGCCGCGTCCTGCTATGTGGGTTCAAAGTCGGATACGAATGCACGAAACAAAATTATCAAGCATCCATTAAGGCCGTGTTTGATCAGCTTTAAGCAGATGTCTCTTGGACTCTGCGTTCACGCACCAACCCTTCTCCTTCAGGTACCCAAGAAGATCTAGCATTCCACGGTGTGCGGCAGCCAGAAAGTGCCAACCGCCTTCACAACTCTGTTAGCGCTCAGTTTCCCTCAGTTCACACCTCACATTCCATATCCTTAACTTGTAACAATCTTCACATTCCTCGGTCAAAAACCCTAATTCAGTTTAGTTTCTTCCAACTCTGCAGCTCTCGACAACGATCTGCTTTCACGAAACAGAATCACTGATCTCCTGAAACTGCGCTCCAGAAACGCACTGAGCTTTTAATGTTCGCACCCTCCCTCAAGTCGGGCAACAAACCTCACTAGCAAATCGAGCGAAGGACGTGTGCTGTCTTTGTGAGACATATATACAGGACCCAGTTTAAAATTCAACTTTACAGTTTCTGCAGATTCCAAGGCTGGTTCTCGCAGTCTTGCAGGTATGGTTATTGGACTGAGCATTAATGCAGAAAGTTCACTCGAGTGGATCCAAGTTGACAGACATCTATGCGTTCTGCTGAATGGCACAGAGAGGAATAGAATGAGTAGTGAAACTCGCAGTTACCTCTTTGTAATCTCCACTTACACACCCACTAACTGTATTTCAAAGGAAGCGAAAAATGAGTCACATAGAAAACTGTCTAGTCTCCTATTGAAAGCCAAACATCAAGACATGGTTGTTGTAGCGGGTGATTTCAATGTACAAGTGGGTAGGCTAGACCAGGCAGAAAGACACTTAGGTGGCGCATTCAGAATACCAACCGAACGAACAGGTAACTGCGATCGCCTGCTATAGAACAGAATTCAGACATTAAGAGACACATTATCTAACATAGCATCCAACGACCTCAACACAGCGCTGGATACAGAGAGAGTCAGTGGAAGACTGTGGATCCTTCTGAAGAGTGTGTTTGGATAGCAATCACAAGTTGGTCCGAGCACGTGTATGTCTACGTCTAAATGGTCGTAAAGAGCTTTAGTGACAAGACTATTGCGAGTGCAGCTCCACAATCAAAATACTGAGGCTACTTTCAGCGACAAACGCACTAGACACTCATCGCAACATAAGAGCACCACTTATCTAGAAGAATCCTGGTGCTTTCTCCAGTCTGCCATGCAAACAGTGGCGAAGACCATAGCCGACTCTGACAAGGTGGTTGGAAAGGGCCAGTGGATCTGAGTAGCTTTCTTGTGAATTAATGGATGCGGGTGAACACATCCCTTCAGACCCTTAGCTCAATGAAGGATGGAAGCAACTCAAATGTAGACTAACAAGAAGTCTATGCAATGACTGTGAACAGTGGTGAGCAGCAAAGGCTGAAGTGATGGAGAAGGAGATAGGCAACAGTAAACAGTTATTTAGAGTGATAAGGGAAACTGGGGCTGAAAGGTCAGTGACTGGTGAGACTATAACAGAGAAGGATGGGTCTATGACTCACTCGTAGGGGAGGTGAATGGAACGATGTGAGGAGTACTTCTAGAAATAATTAAACTGACCTCCAGCTACTATTTCGTTGCCCGCTACGCTATCCAGTCGGAGTCTGAATGGGACATCGAAATGAGTCCCTCAAAACTAGCAGAAGTAGAGAAAGCAGCAGGTAACCTGAAACGAGGAAGAGAAGCAGGGCTTGACGGACCAGTTCCATAGGTATTTAAGGATGGTGGCCATGGATTTCCAGCGAAGTTGATTGGATTGTTAACTAGTGTACGGGAGTCAGATATGACCTCGTCCGACTGGTCTCAATCACTGCTTGTCCAGCTCTTCAGCAAAGAGAACTGTAAAGGAATCGGACTAACGATTGCAGTGTCTAAGATTCCAGCTTCCATGGTTACTAGACGTCTGAGTGGAGCTCTGGGGATAGTAAGTGTTAGAAAACTAGGCGGGCTTCAGACCTGGCCCCGTGGCTGTATCTACCAGATAGTCACTCCACAAGGTTCTGGAACACAGACACTTACCGACGCCCGACACTATGTCTGTATTTCTCGACCGACTCAGTTGATTGAGAAGTCTTATGGCAGTTTCTCTCACTGAAATGAGCGCCGACTAAGTACACGACTCTGTACTACAACACCCATGGACATGTTACAGCTTATGGTAAGTTGTCAGGTGAGCTGTGTACCTTCAAGTGGCGTCCGTCGAAGATGCCCACACTCTCTATTCCTATTGGATTTTATCACAGGCTTTCTTATGGCGATCTCTCTATCTCTCTTGTCGTCTGACTCTACAAGGATTTATCTTGTCACAGGAGAATCCTTGGTGGATCTAGAGCATGCAGATAACAGTCCTGTTAGGTGAAGAGTCTACGGATACCTTGAATCGCGGTTTCAGGATATGTGGGATGTGTTTCTCGCCACATGAATGCTAATTGTTGTCCCAGGACTATCCTTCAGCGGTACTCAGGCTAACAATAGAGTGTAGTGGTTGAGTTTGTTGAACACTTCACTTACCTGGGAAGTCGGATCAGCCCTGGTAGATTAATGACAGAGGAAATCTCGACACTGATAAAAAAGGCTCGTTTGGATTTTGCCACCTTACGCCATCTGTGATATCTGATTATCTGCCAAGGGCCGAGTATACTGTACGTTCATTAAAGGCAGAGGATGCGAGAAGGCTTTAGGTGTTTGAGCACGGTTGCCTTCGTATCGTAGGCTGTCTGTTGTGGTGTCACCAATTTCATAGTGAAGAAGTGTAGGGCTTTAGGGAAGATCGAGTAGTGAGTTGATGTTGCAGATCTTCATAGACTGAGGTGGCTCGGTGATGTCTTACGCATGTTGAGTCACTGTCTGCTTCGGTAAGCATTGTTATTTGAAGTAGGTTGAAGCCAGAAGAAAACTTTCGGTGTTCAAACTGTAACGTAGCATCATTGCATGAATCAGTTGACTACTGATCCGAATCATTTGGAGAGCTGCAGAATATCGGGTTGGTTTCCGCGTGTCAGCAGAAAATGGTGGCTGTAGATCCTAGGTATTATGGCTCAGAACCTGTGTCAGTGAAACATTTATTCACACATAATGGTAACTGATATACTGAAATCTGCATGTTCTCATTCCTCCTCACTCTTTTATACCACCTTCCGTTGTTTTTGATTGAATTTTGTTTCTTTCTCTATCCTTCATCTTATTGCTTTGTTAGTTGATGTGCTGATATGAGGTGTGGCTACTTGGACCGCTACACAATTATATCTGTTTCTATGTTGATATTGACGATGATGATGATGATCTGAAAGAGGAATAGGTTTCAGTAATCGCATAGCCGATGGGGCATCTGTCTGACGCCTGTGACATAGCTTTTTTATGATTGTCGACACGTGATTCTATTGGGCTAATGCCAGATAGAAAGACCCAGAAGAGTGATGAGCAAGTAGAAGTGTAATACTTCGGAGCCAACCCGTTCTAACAGCCCCCCTTCCTACTGTAAAGACGGCATCAGCATAGTAGTGCTGTTCATCCAGGGGAAACACCTCATTTCTGTCACATCCCAGCCAATCAGAAGAAACACTTCATTCTCAGTCCCTCATCAAATCGTAGCATTTTATACTATATTGATAACTCCCTTCATCAGACACTGCCCAACAGATCTTTATGGTATGGTAGGACCTCAAGAGAACAAGCGTTGTACCGGTATAGCTAATTGGGTCATTTTAATACAAAGGCCCGACCACCACATCAAGGGAGCAGATATCGTTTTGCTGGAGACGCCAAGAGGTTAATTCTAGGGCGAGATAGTATATGTTTTCGACGTGATGGAGATCGTTCATTTAGTGATGTTGAAACATGGGTTTTCTATGACTCAGACATGTGTTACGCATGTCGTCCCAGCGGCTTCCACACTGCACATACTTTTAGCTTGTTCCACGACTGGTTGGAAGACGACCAGTTTATAATGTGGTGCCATAGGATGGATAGTTGTGTTGCATTAGCATTTGTACATGGGTCATAACTCTCTCACTGAAAGCATTCCATTTCGATGGTTCCCTAAAACGCCGAAATCCCACTTCAACAAAGTAAACTTGATCAAAACACTCCCTTCAGATTTTTGGTCAAATTCTGTAAATTTTAAACACATAGATCCCATTTATAAGACTTATACAGGATTAATTATAACTGACACTAAACACTGTATTATCTGGAATGTATAATCGTAATCTAGTTGCCTGAGTGTATAAGTAGTGAGAAACCTCGCCTGGTTAACTAGTTCACTAGTTACTAGACGGTCCCAAGCCAGGGTAAAGAGGGAAGACTGGGCATAGGGCTAGCAACCCTACCCGTAAAACCATCCAACCGCTACAGAAACTTCAAAGCACAGACAAAATATAAAACATAAAAACCAACTTATTCCTCGCTGGATCGGAGAGACGAAATGACGCCGGTTGGTGAAAGCCTTCAGGAAGTTAATTGGCCGATGTGTCTTCTCTCGACGAAGTGAAGACAGGAGTAAAACAAGGCTGTCTACTATCACCCATGATATTCCCGATTGTGGTCGACTGGATCATGCAACAAACTGTGAGGAGCGAGAAGAGGGGATGCGCTGGACTGCGGAAAAGAACCTAGAAGATCTGGATTTCGCCAACGATGACTTGTGTCTGATGTCACACAAACTCGAAGATCTACAAGCAAAAACTAACAAGTTGACAGAAGAGGCAGGGCAGCGAAGGGAGACGGGACTTCAAGTGAATATAGAGAAGACAGAGGTGAGGATGATACCCAACTAACGCCACCACCACCAACAACAACAACAAACTCCAATCACCATAAACAGGAGAAACTTAAAGGAAGTAGCCTCTTTCACCTATCTAGGCAGCATCGTTCCAACTACAGGCGGCGGCACAGACGAAGACGTCAAAGCCAGGATCGGAAAAGCAAGACAGGCGTTCACTAACCTGAAACCAGTGTGGAGATCTTCTGCACTCAGCATAAATAACAAGATCCGGATTTTCAACACTAATGTCAAGTAAGTCAGTGCTTCTATATGGCTCAGAGACTTGGCGCGTCACGAAAAGCATTTCCAACAAACTACAGATATTCATCAACAACTGCCTACGCTGGCTCGTTACTGAAGATCAGATGGCCAGAATACTAAGAATAAACAACAAGGAACTCTGGTTGGCAACGAACCAACCAAGAATCTATCACCCAACAAATATGCAGAAGGAAGTGGAGGTGGGTTGGGCATGCACTGAGAAGACCATTCGGGGACATCACGCGCCAGGTTCTCGAGTAAAACCCAGATGGGAAACGACGAGTTGGGTGTCCGAGGGTGACATGGATGAGATGGTGTGAGGAAGAAATGAGAGCTTGTGGACTGTCGTGAGCCAGGTTCAAAAGATTGCAGAGAACAGAGTGGAATGGAGACGTGCTACTGAAGCTCTATGTTCCATTAGGAACCCAAGGGACAAATAATAATAAATAGTTAGAAAGGATAGTCAGAGAAGAGAACACTACTTTTAAAAATACGCTAACCTGTCGGTTGAATTCATTTTCACAATCTACAACTCTTGGACTCAGTGTGTTGACACGAATCGAATTATCCTCATCCTCTTCACTGACTACATTCTCATTCTGATTATGCAATAATGATGACACTACTGATGCATGACTCTCAATGTGGGCTGAGTTATTTGAAACAGGCATATTTGCTGCTTCTTGCCAAACAGGAGTTGTATTCATATTTTCAGTATTACAACTATTATTATTACCATTAGGATTTACAATATCTTCAACTTGTGTACAACATTCATTTGTTGTTACTATTTCTTGTATAGATATAATATGATTTTGTTCACCTCGAGCGTTACTGATCCATCGTTGATTTCTGTTATCATCTTCATTGAGTGAATATGGTCGAGATGATGGTTGAGGAGTTACTGATGTTGACTGACCACTTGAAGAATGCGAGCATGGCAGCATAGAAACAGACATGCTTGTATTAGGATCAGGTAGAATACTAGTTGTTGGTGATTTTACTACCAATGAATCTACTAACGTTTCGGACTCACGGCAAACAACAGCAGTATTCGTGGTAGTAGATGAACTAGCAACAACAGCTGAATTGATAGTAGCAGTAGAATTCGCTTGTCTAGCAACTTCAATAGATAAACGTTCTTTTAACTCAGCTAATTGTGCAAAACAATGACCTTGATTTGCTTCAAGCTGTGAAATATGCCAGTTTTGATCTCGACATTTTTGAAGTATGTAGGTGCTCTTACCTACATTAGAAAATGTAAAAGTAGGAAATATAAACAGTGAGGATAAAAGATAACTTATATGTTACTAACCAGAGTTCAAGTAAACGTGACATACACATCAATTAAATGCCTTTGAAACAGCATACATACTTGAGTGAGATCTGTAATAAAAACAAGCTGTTCAACCACTAGGAAATATTAAATATTTAATCTATAAACCAATTTATACAGTGAAATTAGATTTGCTAAAGTGAAAATAAATAAGGTGCTTAAGTGTTTCAGAGCTACATGGACTAAACGACTGTCGTATAGTTAGCTTTGATCTTGTTTTTGTGTTTTTAGACCAAGAAAACTATATTAATTCATGAAGCTTATAACTACTAACGTTGCCCGTGTAAATAGGTTAAGGCTGTTCATCTGGGATCCCCGATATGCTAAGAATCAAGGGTTAAAGACTCTTTATGATTTGGCTCAAAATATATCACAATGACGAGGAAGCATTTACTTTTTCTTATTTTCCAAGTTGGTATTCATTATGGACTGACACCAGTTGGAGGAACATTGGAAAGTTGCTTCGCCCTAGTATGGGACTCCTCAGTAGTGCCCACCCAGGACCTTTGGGTTCCGTGGCAAGCACGTTACAAATGAGCCACTGGGTCGGAATCCACTGGCCCATATCCCCAAATTCTGTCAGGTCACGATATAGCGCGACCATCATCCAATATCATTGTTGAGTATCTAGACAAGTGCTGTAGAAGAGACAGCAGTATTGAATGCACCCACGTCATCAATAGCTGATTTTCATATGATCTATCTGAGTTCAGGCTTGACTGGCAGAACAACAGCAATGGCTATACTGGACGTTGGTGCTTGCAAGAAGCAGGTTGTGGTCTGCGAAAAGGTGCAGAAGACTTTCTCCATTATCTAGACCGCAACCTATGAATTCCTATTGGTGACGTAGATCAGCCTCCTTTGGGCCTAGATGCCCAATCTGTGGATTAAAGTCCTCAGTTGGCACTAAAATATCTGTGAGGCACTCCTGGTAAAGAAAGTCACTCAGTTGGTGCTAAAATTCATCACTAGGTGTATATCCGCTGAAATCAGTGGATATATAGGCAGAGATGATGAGGAGACATGGTCTCCTGTGTCAGTTACTTCGTACCGTAAAGAAATCCTTTTACCTATCAATTCAGTTTACGGACGACAGTTGATAGGAATACAGACAACTAGTATCGCTTCGGTTAAAACACTTAGGGCGACACCAACAGCAGTAAGGTCAACTGTTTACGTCACACGGCCTCCGCATAAGTGCACTTAAATACACATTCTGACGCATGTGGAGGTTATTCGAAGAACTTCATTGGTATCTTGTGTGCCAGTCTCTAAGATGCAGTATGTACGAACAACGAGGCTTTTAGGGTCCTAGTCAAACTTTTCTGTTGTCCGCTATACATCAGAGTCAGAATATGGAAGTTGGCTAGCTAAGGCGGTACTCACGGTTTCAGAATAATTTTATCAGACATCCTTTGGAAGCAACTGTTTCGTGGTTCAGGAAGATGCAGACAAACTAGGAATTTAGTCAGTGTTGAGTAGCTGAGTAGAATAAAAATATGCATTCAGATGAATTTGAAAACAACAACGAAGAGATAGTGCAGTTCAGAGGTAGTAGTTACAAAGATATGAAGGAAATAAATTGAAAAGTTCTTCATAGTAAGATTTTTCTAAGCACTTTTGTTACTTCGTTGGTAATGACTGACTAACTGAAAAAATCAACGTAGAACTTCGCATACATGTGCATCGGACCAAGTTGCCACACTTCACATAAGTATACAAAGAACAGTTGGATAGAAAAGGGGTGACATCGGATAAGATAAAGTTGTGTGAGAGAACAAACAATCTGAAGATGAAGGTTCGTGAGAATATTCAAGCCTTAAAGAATGTCAGAGAGTGAATACATCTGCACCATTACGACCAATTTTCAGCCATGTCACCAAGTGTCCTCAACCACTGATTCCTTTCGTCTCAAGGGCCCCAACTAAGCATTCTACATCTCACACGGCTCAAGTCATCAGTCAGGGATTTGATTGACTAGTGCCACGTCCTATTCTAGTCACCTTGAACCCTTTTCCATCCTAATCCAACTTTCCTAAGCATGGCCCATCAAGGTGGGTGGTGGCTTGCTCGGGATGCGCAGTACATGTCCAAGCCATCTCGATCGACACAGGTTCACAACCTCATCGATCGACTTGCCTGCGTTGCCTGCTAACCTTCGCCTGACTTCAACATTGCTCACACAGTAATCCTATCAAATGTGAACAATGCTGAGAAGAAACCTATGATAGAGAAACTGTGACTGCCTCATATCTCCTACTTTTAACGACTATGTCTCACAGCCATACAAGATGACAGAATGGACTACAGCGCAGTATACTCGTCCTTTGGTAGATTATCGGATATCTCTCTGATGCCATAGGAGACGCAAGTTGGCAAATGTTAAACAAGCTTTCTGTGTCCAAGCTGAGATTTCGTCGGGGCAAATGCCCGTTCGAGTTGATGCAACTCCCCAAGTAAGTAAAGTGGTTGACACATTATGATACTTCACTCCCTATCATTAAGCTGGGAATCGTTGCAGCAGACCAGTCCCGGAGCATCATCTCACATTCGACAGGTGCGAAATGCATGCCAAACAACTTAGATTTCTGCTCAAAGCGTTCAGAAGACCCTGCATTTCATCAGTGTCCTCACCTTTTTTTATTATTAGTCCCTTGGGTTCCTAGTGGAACATAGGGCTTCAGTAGCACGCCTCCAGTACACTCTGTTCTCTGAGATCTTTTGAACCTGGTCCCATGACAGCCCACAACCTCTCATTTCCTCCTCGCACGACCTCCTCCATGTCACCCTCGGACGTCCAACTCGTCGCTTCCCATGGGGATTCCACTCGAGCAACTGGCCTGACGCGTGATGTCCGCAGTCGGCCTTCTCAGTGCATGCCCAATCCATCTCCACTTCTTCCTGCATATTTGTTGGGTGATAGGTTCTTGGTTGGTTCGTTCCCAGAGTTCCTTGTTGCTTATTTTTTGTGGCCATCTGATCTTCAGCAGCGAGCGTAAGCAGTTGTTGATGAATGTCTGTAGTTTATTGGAAATGCCTCTCGTGACGCGCCAAGTCTCTGAGCCATACAGAAGCACTGACTTGACGTTGGTGTTGAAAATCCGGATCTTGTTCCACATGCTGGGTGCAGAAGATCTCCACACTGGTTTCAGGCTAATGAACGCCTGTCTTGCTTTTCCGATTCTGACTTTGACGTCCTCGTCCGTCCCGCCTGTAGTTGAAACAGTGCTTCCTAGATAAGTGAAGGAGGTTACTTCCTTCAAGTTTCTCCCGTTGATGGTGATTGGAGTTTGTTGTTGTTGATGGTGGTGGTGCGGTATCTTCATCACTTCTGTCTCCTCTATATTCACCTGAAGTCCCGTCTTAGCTGCCTCTTCTATCAACTTGTTAGTTTTTGCTTGTAGATCTTCAAGTTTGTGTGACATTAGGCATAAGTCATCGGCGAAATCCAAGTCTTCTAGGTTCTTTTCCGTCGTCCAGTGTATCCCCCTCTTCTCGCTGCCTACTGTTTGCTGCATGATCCAGTCCACCACAATCAGTAATATCATGGGTGATAGTAGGCAACCTTGTTTCACTCCTGTCTTCACTTCAAAGGCATCACTGAGCTTCCCATTGTGGATTACTTGGCATGTGGCATCTTCATATAGTTGTTGAATGAGGCTGATAAAGGTTTGCGGTACTCCGTAGTATTGAAGCAGTTTCCAAATTACTTCTCGGTCGACACTGTCAAAGGCCTTTTCAAAGTCGATGAAGTTGAGGTAGAGAGCTGATTGCCATTCTATGCTCTGTTCTATGATGATACGAAGCGTTGCAATTTGGTCCACACATGATTTGTACCTCCTGAAGCCTGCCTGTTCCGGTCGCAGTTTTGAATCCAGTGCATCTTTAAGCCTCTCCAGGATGATGCGGCTTAATATTTTACTTGGGGTGGACAGGAGAGTGATTCCGCGCCAGTTCTTGCAAGCACTGAGGTCTCCCTTCTTCGGCAGTTTGACAAGGTAACCCTTCTTCCAATCGTCAGGTACCTTCTCTTCCTTCCACACCTTCTGCAATAGTGGTGTGAGCATGTCCGCTGTTGTCTCTGCATCTGTTCTCAGTGCTTCTGGCGGTATTCCATCTGGTCCTGCTGCTTTCCCGCATTTCAGTAGCTTTATGGCGTTCAGGACTTCCATTTTCGTTGGAGGATTAATGTTCACTTGTAATTCAGCGGCTGCAGGTGGTATTTCTGGACGAAGTGCAGGTGGTGGTCGATTCAAGAGCTTCTTGAAGTGGTCGGCCCATCGTTTCCTCTGTTTCTCTTCTTTTGTAATTAAATTTCCTTCTTCATCTTTTATTGGTTTCATCTGTGTTGGTCTCTTCCCTGATAGCAACCTGGTTATTTGATACAATGTCGTCAGGTCTCTCTTACCTGCAGCCTGTTCTGCTTCACTTGCCAGTGTTTCGTAGAAGTGTCTTTTGTCTTTGCGTGCACTCTTCTTCACTTCTTTGTCCAGTGTTTTATACATTGTGCTCAGTTCCTCTTGTCGTTGAGCATCCTTGCACTGGTTTATCTTCTGCTTCACCATCCTCCTCTCCTCTATCAGCTTCCAGGTATCCGTCGAGATCCATTCCTTGTCTTCTTTCTTCTTCCTTCCTAATACTGTTGTGCAGGTTTCTTTCCACATAGCTTTCAAAGACTTCCAGTGTTCTTCCACACAGGTTTCTTCAGGGATGTTCCTCCATATCTCCCATTTTGTCTTGATGGCTGCCTTGAAGATCTCCTTTGTAGTTTCATCCTTCGGTTTCCGAGTGTTGTACTTGAATTGAGGTCTATCACCAGCTTCCTTGAAGGCTTTCAACTTGATTTCGAAGGTTCCTTGCACTAGATAGTGGTGTGAACCTACATCTGCTCCTCTTCTTGACCTTGTGTTAAGTAGACTGCGTCTCCATTTTCTTGAGATTGAGATAAAGTCGATTTGGTTTTTAGTGTGTCCATCTGGTGAAATCCATGTCGCTTTGTGGATATCTTTGTGCCTGAACACACTGCCTCCAATCAACAAATCGTTGAATGCGCAGAATTCTGAAAACAATTCTCCATTCTCATTCATCTCACCGAGCGCCTCTCGACCCATGGTTAGTTCTCTTCCCGTGTTGTCCCCTCCCAGTTTGGCATTCATGTCGCCCATTAGAATTTTGATATCGCCAACTGACGCCTTGTCCAGTGTTGATTGAAGTTGTCTGTAGAAATCCTCCTTTTTCTCTTGCTCTGCATTATTTGTAGGTGCATAACATTGTATGATTGTGACTTTACTTCCTTTTGAGTTGAATCTTCCCGTCATGATCCTGGAGGAGATTGGTTCCCACTGCATGAGAGCCTGCGATGCTGTTGGGGACATCATGATAGCCACTCCATAACTCATTGTGCTCGTGGTTGTCGTGCGTCTGGGTGACAATATCGGAGTAGATTATTGATTCTCCAGTTGACAGTTTGGAGAGTCCACTCCCATTCCATCTGCTTTCGCAAATCCCAAGCACTTCGATGTTATACCTTCTCATCTCCTTTGCAATCTGGGCTGCCTTACTGGGTTCAAACATCGTGCGGACATTCCATGTCCCCACGTTTACTTTCGCTTTCATCGAGGGAGAGAAGACACATCGGCCAACTGGCTTCCCGAAGGCTTTCACCAATCGGCGTCATTTCGCCTCTCCGATTCCAGCGGGGAATAAGTTTGTTTTCATTTTTTATATTTTGTTTGTGCTTTGAAGTTTGTTTAGCGGTTAGATTTGTTTTACGGGGTAGGGTTGCTAGCCCTATGCCCAACCTTCCCTCTTTACCCGGGCTTAGGACCGGCTAGTAACTAGTAAACTAGTTAACCAGGCGAGGTTAGTGTCTTCACCTAGTAGGACAATATCGTCTGCATATTCTAAGTCAACTAGGGAGTAGGTCAATCCTTGTGGAGTCACACATACTTAAGGTTATGTCAACTAATACGTTTTTATTGGTAATAGTATTTTGTAGTTTGTGTGTGGGCCATATTACTGCCCGGGAGGTCACACTGAAGCAGATGGTGGTCTTAAGAGACCATTTCCTGTCTTTTGACTTCAAGCCCCATTCAAAAGGCTGTGGAGAAACGTGAGGTATTGCATTCCTAGGCTAGCCGGTGACCATTCATGTGTTGGAACGTAGATACCCATCAGTACAGCAACTATGACATATTTTGAGAAGATAAATAATAAGAGAAATAGCAATTACCTGAAACTTCAATACAAGTGAATCCGTCTCACTATTTAAATAACCTTCACTAACTAATAAGTCCAAACGAAAGAATCGATTATAACCCCAACATTCACCAACTTCAAAATGTGAGGCAAATTCACGTACAATATTACGACTGGGATCACGGGATACCTGATGGACCATTTCAACACGATATTCATACCTGAACAAAGTAATTGAAAAGACGAAGGAAATACAATATATTATGCATAATGGGAAGGTCTACTGCATGTATATTAGATTACCTTATATACACTACATTAGTGGAGGTCAACTGAATTAGATTTAGACAGTATGAACCTGTGTGACCTAAAGAAGATGGAAGTGAAGTGTCTACACTAGTGAGTTAAAAGAAGAATTAAAGTAAAGAAAATTCTTCGTCCGAATTTCTATATAACTTTAATGGAACTAACTGAAGCTAACAGTAAAGTGTACTTGTATAGGAAACATTAGCAAGAAGGAAGGAACTAACAGTACATGTTCATGCTTTAGGCAAATATATACAATGAGAAAGGTTGGGTTTAATTGGCACTATACTTTTAACTGCTCAAAAATTGGAAATTCATGTCATTGCGTTTATCAGTTTACATATACATGTGATGAAACAAATATAAGGAGTTTAGTTGGTTGGATGCAATCGACAGGATGCCCTGGATCTAGGTTTCGTACTTGATGGTACTCATCTCCAAGGGGTACCTACAAGCTCGAGGGGACTGTTATCCCCTCTGAGATTCAAAAGCGGGTCCCTCAGTGTTACAGTTAGGGACGTCACCATCGAGCTTTTCCAGCCGTGACTGACCTTCTGTACGGCTGGATTACATACATTTATTGGTCAATGGAGAGCGACCAATCTCATGTAGCCTAGGTCGGGCAGGGCTTCTTGCCGAATGTCTCCGACCAACTAACATCCATCAAAGCGAACCCCAAAGGTGAATTTCCTAGCAGTGCAAAATGATCGATAGAATTCGGTTAGCACTCAGGACTAGACAGTATGAGATTGTTTGTTCTTCAGTAATCAATCAATGTATATACATAAGAAGAGTCTGTCTATATCTGCTTGTAAGAATACATTTCAAAATGGCTGCAACAGTAAACAAATTCAACTGATGATCCCATTGACTCAAACAATAGATGTCCAACTTTGTCTATCGCTGAATATATCACTGAACTGGGTCACAATTTTGACTTGTATACATTTTTCAAACTTATCCATAAAACCTACTGAAGCTGTATACTTAGATTTGTTGAAACTCTGGCCACACATTCAACGGAGATTTTCAGTTACATTAAACTCACCTTGGTAACTTAACTTTAATGTCAAGGGTGATTAATCGCTACCTTTATCTTTCCATCTGTGTAAATAGGTGTGATTAGTACATCTGTGACCAGATTGCTGGCAATGCAGTGTGTGAACATAGCATACATTTCAGACACATTATGCTTTCTTATTGCTCTGCTGAAAATACTTTCCCTTTACAGTTTGAGGTTTATGAGGATTTTATTTTTAAGGTAACATTCATCAGACTGATGTCAATTGGAGAAACACTGAAAGTCAAGGAGCACTGGAGAGCCTCTTCGTCCTAGTGTGGAACTCCTCAGCAGAACGCAACCCCAACCCCACCAGGGACCTTGAGGTCTCACTGCAAACATGTTAGCCATTAGACCAATGGATTGGAATTTAATTGTCCATAGTCTCCTACTTCTCTCTATTCACGATATAGTGTGACTATCCACTATGTTCTTTAGTCCGCTTTTCAATTCATTTCCAACTGACTGACCTCAAAAGTCATAGCTTCTCGTTAAAACTCGAGGATATCCACTTCAAAGTATGTCACTTATGAGCACTGTGCAGCAACCCAGCTTGCTTAGAAATCAATACTACAAAAATGATTCCGTGACACTGACAAAACACTTTTGGCATGATATTGACCTGCGCTCGTCTAAGTGATAAAGTCTGTCTATATGTAAATACTACTATGGTTTACAGAAGAAAACATTTAATCTGTATTACTGGCGAAGAAATTTATGCAACTTTTTTAATGCCCACTACTTTCTTTGACTGTAAGGAGCTTATTTTCATTTTAGAGTAACAGGAGTGTCAAGAGAGGTTAGAAAGTGCATCACCAACGAATGAGTAATCCATTCATCTACAGTATACATACCTATTCCTGTTTTCTTGACAATGTGATACTGTGTAGTGAGTGGATTAGATTTTAAAATACTCGGTTGCCATTAAAAATAAGTTTCGAAATTTTGTCAACGAGACACATGTATCACGAAATCTACAAACTGTCGTATACTCACAGATCACTTCATACATGTGAAGTTATCGAATCTGTCTAAGTTCTCTCCAAAAATTTGCAGCAGGTTACTTTTAACTAAGGAAAGCAATATCTAAATCATGAAAAAAGTTCTTTATATTTTTCAAGATGAAATCCCTATCAAGTGATGAATGAGTTTATTGACTGAATATGCGTCGACTACGACTACTGGATATTTTCTAGACCAGATAGTTTGACATCCTTCACCATCGATTTGAATTAACTGTGGTTGTCTGCTAGTGACCACTTGAAATGTCACCAACGAGCTCTTCATTCACTCATGTATGTCTTTGGAATGGTTATGACATCTTTTCACTTCTGTCGAGTTCCCCCCCCCCCATATATTTTCATGAATCTCAGTGCCTTGGACTCAGGCGTTTTCATGCGAGTATGTGTGCGTTATGATTACTATCAGTTCAGCTAGACAATCCTATATTTATATAGCAACAAAAGTGGTCCCAATACATGAGTTGCCATTAAAATTAAAAATTGTAATGAAAAGTGAAGATTCATCAAAATCTAACAATTTTTAATTTTAATGACAACTCATGTATTGGGACCACTTTCGTTGCTATGTTTAACAAACCACTTTTGACTATCGAAAAGTAACACAAGCTAAACGTATAAATTTGCGATTGTACAGCTTTGAGAATGAAATAGTCAAAAAGAGACTATTCGCCGAAGTTCTTGTTCTTCTTTCATATTCTGATACGTATCTTTCGTAGATTTAAGTTCAATTACTACTATGAACAAGGTAACGTGATCACTTATAAGTGATCAATTAGTAAATCTGGAACTTGCTTCATACTTTCCAAAATTTCCATAGAAGGGTAGAGAAACTACTGGATTGTTTTCTGTTGCGTATACATACCGCCTTGTAATGAACAGAACACATCACTGTAAATTGTTTGGACCATCGGATAACGATTCAAAAACTGCGTAGATCGTTGCAGTAAATCTCCCATCTGACTGGATTGTTTTCCCCCACTCACTTCTCATTTCAGTAGGATTTTTAGTGTAATAGATAATATAAGTTACTATTTTGACAAAAATGCAAACTAATGAGATATAGGACGGAACAGCAGTAGCCGTTGGACACCCATCCGCAATGTTCAACAGCTCGACTGTTGATCGAAACATCGAAAAATTTACGCACTAGGTTGTTAGCAATCCTATCTGTAGTGAACATAGAGATTGAAATTGCAGTGTAAAAAAAGCTAGGCCTGCTGATCAGCTGCATTAAATAACTGACAATACTGTCGTTTCGTATGATTTGTCAATGAGCAGTGGGTTTGGTAACCAAGTATTAGGCAGTAAACTTTATTATTCAATGACATTTCGTTCGACTGCAACTGCTACTTTGCCTTAGCAGTCAAGTTTGCATGTCCCAAAGACTTGTTCAAGCTATATTGAGTGGATCAGTAGACAAAACATCCAGTGAATAGTGTTATTTCATTGTAAAGGTTTATCTAATGAACAAACTATGATGGAATAAAAATAATGCCTGATTTTTATCCATTGGTTCCTATTATCTCGAGAAACCTAATCAAGCAGTCTATACCTCTCTATACTGGTATTCAAAGACTTCATCAACTGGTGACGTGTCTTTGTTTGGTCACCGTTAACCTTCTTCCGGCTAAGTTCTAGTTCACTTTACATCGCATGTCGAGCTAGGCGCTGGTTCAGCATACAAAAACACGTGTCTAAGCCACCTCAATCGGTTAAGGTTCACAGCCTCATCTGCTGACTTGCCTAAAACTCTTCATCTAACGTCAATATTACTCACGCGGTGAGGTCACGCTATATCTTGGGCTGACAGAGGTAGGAAATATGGGCCATTTGGATTCCGACAAAGTGATTCAATAGCAACGTGTCAACCGCGGAACCTGAAGGTAGTGGGATCGATCTATAGCGGGGTCATGGATGGGGACTGTTGTGGAGTCCCATACTAAGACGAAACAAATGCCCAGTGTTCCCAGGTCTCCAGTGGTTCGTTACACCCGATGCTTCATCTCAGTTTCGATTCTAACTACAATTGATGTAGCCGCATGAAACGTAGGTAGCGATGTGTATCTCGTTTCGCCTATTGAACATGCCAACAGCATATAGAGAATCATGTTTCCCTAGCATTCGTAAGTAGAAACAGTAAGTTGAAGGCTTCAAAATAACTTTGTTTTCTCGAGTGGCTTCAAATGTAACTCTAACAACTAGTGAGATGACCAGTTAGATATCTATATTTTAGTGTGAAGAGTAGTTTGTCACAGAAACCTGATTCGTTTTTTTAGTAGTTGTTAGATTGACCCTTAAACTGATTCATTTTCTCGGGGATTACCAGTTTGTGGACAGAGTATATATCAGTCAAACCTCCAAATTATCAATTATTTCCACAGTTCTCTTCTTTGTCTTAACATCACATATTACAGCTTTTATGACCTTATTCCTATAGAAGTCGATAGATGACTCATCGTGATTCAGCACGGTTTGTCTGTTGCCTTAGTTGACGGGATAAAATATTAAAGGGAGAGAGAAAATAAACATATTTACGAATGGCAAATAAATCAATATAAAGGTTGTATACTCAGACCAAGTTGAGTTTTGATTTAAGAAATCTAATAACAATAACAACAAAACAAGGTTGATATTGACCTAGATAACATTTAAGTACATGACTAGATGGTATCAGCGTCATAAATGACCTTGAAAACACATTCACTGATCTGAGCTTTTATGGCTATCAAAAGGCTCTGAATGAAATGTTTAGAACAATCTCATTATGTAATCAGTAGTTAGTATAAACTTGTCAGATGATCATGACCGAACTCCTTTCTGACTATATGTACTT